CAATACTTAGATTTGACTGATATTTCGAAATGTTATTTGATGATACTTATTGTAGAATAGTTCCAAATGTTGCAAAGCTGGGCTACTATGCAAAAATTCCAGCACATTCCTTTGACTGCATTTGTAACCCTTTACAAATAAATGTTACATTACTCTATCATGCTAATCCCAGCGGATCTGTTCCAGCATTGGGCTGTGGAGCAGTGGAACTGTATTTTCTGGAGTGATGGAGCTCAAATCATTACCTTTGGGATGAGTAAGTGTGGTGTATGTGACCTAGAAATATGCATCTAATATCAGTACCTGACCTCACTAATGCTCCCGTGGCTGAATGCGATCAAATCCTCATAGCAATGTTCCAGCATCTAGTGTAAAGCCTTCACAGAAGAATAGAGGCTGTTACTGCTGCAAAGGGGGGACAAAACATATTAATGCCCTTGATTTCAGAAGAAACGCGTCTACAAACTTTAGAACATGTAAGTGTCCTTGAAATATATACATCCAGTCCTGCACAAAAGTTTACGCACCCCTGGACTAAAAAGTACACACTTGTGCACGATTTTATACACAGCGACCGTTCATTATAACATAGAGGCTGGAAAAAAAAACATAAATTGTAAATTTAAAACGACAATTTATATTTAGTTTTGAATTTTTTAGTGTTGAATTTTTTCTTAAACTCTGCAAAATTTCTTCTAAAATCTGTGGTTCTAATAGGGATTTTGGATAACAGAGAGTTTGGATATCAATATCTGATGTCGACATTGACCCACAATCCCTTTTTTGGTGCAACCCTACCAACAGTTGCACACAGATACCACACGCCAACCCACTATTTAGGTTTCTCAGGTAATGTTAGGTCACTGTGCTGCAGGTCTTTGTAACCTCAGACTTACAGGCCCTGAAAACTCCAGCATCATTTGCACACTGCACAGACGGCCATTTCAGAGATCGTGATGCAGAGGACTAGTGCTGCCTAAGGGGGGATGAGTCAGTGGTGTGTGTGTGTGTGTGTGTGCGCGTGTGTGTATATGTGCGTGTATAATCGTATGTGTGGGTAGGTGGGTGGCACATGGAATAGCCCTGCTTGGTGACGTAGATGACCTAATCCCCTGCAGGCAATATTTCCATCCTGCAGACTTTCCATCCCTGTTTTCATATATACAGGAGGAGAGTGCAGAGGCTTGAGTATTGGGCTCTTAAAGCGATAGTTGGGTTAAAATCTAGTGTTCCCCATACCCCAATTGTAAAATGATTAGCCAAGACATGTTTGGCGTATGAAGTTTGCTTCTTTATGTTTGCACTGGAGCTTCAAGGCTGATGCTTATACCCCACTATTTAGCATCATGCTAACTTCTGTACCTCAAAAACTCATTTAGTTATCTTTAGTAATCGACTTGCTTATGCGGTTTCTGACTGTGTGTGACATACTATTATCTATAAAAATGGACAACTACTCCCATTACTAGTTAGCTACATTAGCTTCATAGCTCCAGGAAAAACTGAAAACATCAGCTAATGTGGATTAGCCTGCAGGTTAGACGGGGTTCTCTGCGTCACAGAGGGCTTCCTCCAGCCATGCTGTGTATTTTTAACGCTCTATCGCATCAGCTCTAATAAAACTTTCCACTCTCTTTCCTTTCTCAGCATCCACATTAAGAGATGTTGTTGTTCAGCCTGCAGTGAAGAAGTCTTTGTTCAGTGTGGAAAATACTTTGTAATTGCTTTTGTACTTTGTTACTGTATTTAAGTATTATTTTGGAGAAATTGTACTTTACTCAAGTATTGTTGTTATTATTACATTTCCAAGAGGTAAAACATACTTTTTACTCCTTACTCCTTTTCAGTTTGACCTTTAAAACAGAGGGCGCACACACTTAAAAGATGATTCTTAAAGGATTCTTCAGTAATGGCAGTGGTTCTGTTTATAACGAGAAGCTCTATATTGAACCATTTTGTGCTTAAATGATTTTTTGCATGGGGAAATTGTTCCTCAGACTGATGGAGAATATGTTGTATATGGTTCTATATAGAATCTTTTTAAAATGGTTCTATATAGCACCAAAAAGGGTTCTGCTATTGCTATGATGTCAAGCTTGTAACAACAGAAAAGAACCCTTGAAGAACCATCTTTTTTAAATGTATAGCTGAAACTTTTAGAATGGGGTGGCAAGAACCAGAGAAAAGGGGAAAAAAGGAAAAAAAATAATGGTATTACTGTAGCATTGTTTTTTAACTGAAATTAACTGAAAGACAAGACTTGATGTAATGTATTTTAGTCATTAATGAGGAAATGATGTATTTGAATCATAAAATTAAATTTAAATTAAATTAAATGCATCACTTTTTTCAGTGCTCAGTGTTAACTTTAAGAAAAACATTTCATATGGACAGGCCAAAGAAGATGCCCTCACTATAGGTTATACATGAGTAATATAGTATAATGAAGAAGGCTGGTCAGACAGAACTGTATTAGGTAACCTACAAAACATGCATGTATTCAGCTGTAAAACATAACTTGTTAGCATGGTAAACAATTATAGTTGACAAATATTCAATAGGTAACTCATCTTACCATCACATAGCAAATTTCATAATGTAGTTCACAGAACATCACTGCTGAAGGGACCCAGTGCACATTCGCAATGTTTCACAATGTTTCTTCTTCTCAAGCATGTTATTTCCATTTTAGTCATTATCAATTTCTAATTCCTTTTTTTTAGTTTTCTTTCTTTCTGTTATGTCAGTGACAGCATTTCAGCAAATGTCACAAAACGTTCTACAGCTAAATCAAGAAAAATCTGAAATACTGGTTCTTTGCTACTAAAATTCAGAGAAAGCTGCTTTGTGAAAAACTAGGCTTATTTGCTTTTACTTATTTCTTCCCCTGTTGTAACCATACAGTTACTGTAATAGAAAAAAATCTGTTAATTTCTTCTGTTACTGTTAAACATCAGCTGCCTGTAATGCACTTTGAACAGTATGAGAAGTGCTTTATTAATAAAGCAGCACTGTAACATCACCTCATCTCTCTCTCTTTCTCTTTTCCTCTCTCTCTCTCTCTCTCTCACACACACAGACACATCATGACAAATCTGAGCGTTGTGTCTCATTAGTACAGTGACGCAGTCCTGCCTCATACTGAAGTTGAACATTGAATATGATATAACCTTCTTCAGTCCACTCACTATGTCTTTCCTTTTTCTGTTTTGTCTCTCTTTGTTTCTCATTCTGCTCTCTCAATTCCTCTCTCTCCATTCTCACTGTTTCTCTGTCTGTCTTTCTCTCCCTATGTCTCTCTCTCACCTCTGCTTTCCATCCTCTCTTTTCCTGTTATCTGTCTCTCGTTTCCTCTCTATCTCTTTCCACCTCTCTCTCCCTTTCTCTCTTTCTTTTCATTTTTCTCTCTCTCTTTCCATTTTTCTCTCTCTCTTTTTCTGGGGGTTAGAGGAGGTGACTCAGAGCTCCAGCCTGTAGGGACTTTATACTCATGTGACAGGTGCCAGTCACCATGGGAACCGTCTCCATTGACTTTTTCCTCATGACTGTCTGAGATTTAAGTTGGGTGAGAAGACTGATGACACAAACAGCAAGAGAGAGAGAGAGAGCGAGAGAGAGGAACACAAAGGAGAAGAGAGAAAGTGAAAAGGAGAAAGCAAGAGTGAAAGAGCCAGAGAGAGGGGAACACAAAGAAGGACAGAACACACAAAAAAACACGAAAAGATGGAGAGAGAAAGTGAGAGAATTACGAGAAAAGAACATAAAGAAGGACAGCGAGAGAGAGCAAGAGTTAAATAAAGAGAGGTAGAAGAACATGAAGGAGGGACAGATAGAGCGAGAGAGAAAAGAACATAAAAAAAGAGAGAAAGATGAAGGTGACATTGTTCATTATGTAGTTATCATTATGGAGAATTGAAGGCCATAAGAACCCAATACAAGGTTAAAGGTCTGTCCACCCAGTGATGAGTCTTTTCATTACTGATGAGAGTGGGCATGTTCATGGTCAGACCTACAGTACACTCCTAGGCCATTATTTTAACGTGATTCCCACTCAACACACAGCCCAGGCTGTTGACTGTGACCTCAGCACAGAAACACTTTCAGTGTGTAGCTGAACACACTGTGTGTGTAGGTGTCTGTGTGTGTGTATGTGTGTAAATTTAATGATGAAGATGTGTTTAATTGTATTTCAGTTTTAGTCTGGCACCATAGAGTCACAGCAGCATTTAGGAAGTAAACAAAAAATGATAACAGAACAAGATTAAGGCAGAACACAACACTCACTAGCTAAGCTACTAAGCTTTAAAGGGTCCATATACTACATGTTTCCTAATTTTTTCCCCTGAGGTTCCCTTATGACATTTGTAATTTGTCTTTACAGGACGATTTGCCAACTTCCGTTTGTCCCTAAGAATTAACCTGGTTGATTTGTTACTGTGCCTTTAAGACTGAAGTATGTGAGTGACCTCTGTTCTAATTGGCTGTCCTGTCCTGAAACACTGCTTATAACTTCAGTATGGATGGGTGGGGCTTAATAGGCAGCTGTATGAAAATTTGTTGGGTTTTGCAGCATCATAAAAAATATTTTTAAAGAGGCTGTTTTTGCAGTATAGTTTCTGTATATGGACTATACAGACTGGAAGGTGAATATAAACAAAGTGAACATGTGTTACAATGTGTACATGATACGTCAAACTTTTATTTAAAAAAGTGAGGAAAATAAAATTTCCCATGATATGTGCACTTTAATAAAGATTTCTAGACCTTTTAGTTTGCATTCGTTTCTGCCTCTTGATGTCCTGGCACCATACTATCTGTCTAGGCAGAAAAATTTAACCTTCTATTCGTTTTACTTATTTATACTTTTCGAATGTGTTAAGTGAAACACGCTAAAGTGATTCCAACTCTGACCTGTAGGGGGTGCCATGTAGCTCATCACCTGTGTTTATTCCTCTATATGAATTTTAATCGTATTTTTTTTCTCTCTCTCTCTCTTACAGAAAGTGAGTGAGAAGGTGGGAGGAGCTGAGGGAACAAAGCTTGATGATGACTTCATGGAAATGGAAAAGGTGAGTTTGCACTAATGAAAACTGATTAAACTGTCTAATCAGACAGACAGAAAGGTAGATATTTAGTGAAATTAAATGATTTAGAGATCTAACATTTAGCATTAACGTGAAGATTTTAGTGCAGTTATAAGGTGCAATTTGCATGTCTTAGCCTTCTCAGTCCTGAGACTGAACAAACATTTTTGTTATCAAACATGCTACATGCTAAATAACATAATATATGAATTATTATTTTAAATTTAAATTTAAGTCTAAAATCCAATGTCCAGTTTACTGGACATTTGGACTTGGGCACGTGAGTTTTTGAAAAATTAACATATGTATTATCACCAACATAACTAGACATGAATCAAGAACTGAATGTTTTCTGTGTTTGCTGTATGTACAGTTGCAGGAAAAAAGTTTCTCAACTCTTGAAACTACCTGGACTTTTGAATGTCTACTAAAATATAAAAAATTATGTTACATAAATTATTATATAACAAACAAAAAGAAACAATAATAAAAATAATAAACAAAAAGACAAGGAAAAAATGCAAACTCTATGCACCTATTTTACATTACTATATCTAAAATGAACAACGCTGTTGGCTGGATATTTTTGGTTGGTGGTCTATTCAGCAGTGTGCTGAGGTGTTTAAAAACTCCAGTAGCACTGCTGTATCTGAGCCACTCACACCAGCGCAACACACACTAACCACCATGTCAATGTCACTGCAGTGCTGAGAATGATCCATCACTCAAATAATACCTGCTCTGTGGTGGTCCTGTGGGGGGTCCTGACCATTGAAGACCATTCTGACCATTGTCAGATTTGACTCTAGATTGCTACGTACTTTTAGATGCTTATCTTAGGTGAAGTGCTTCAGTTAAAATATTTAATATTAAATCCTTGCAATTTTTAATGAAAAAATATTTAATTGCTATTTATATCAGCAAGCACTCAAAGTCAGGCATTGTTACTGGTAATAGAAAAGACAAAAATGTACTGTGCTATTTTTATTATCTATGTGAGAGTGTTATGTTTTTCCAGTTTAGCAAACTCAAGCAGTTAGTAACCAATGTCACAAAGGCCAGTCGTCACAGGACGCTGCCCACTGGATGGTGCTGGCCAGATATTTTTAATGGACTATTCTCAGTCCAGCAACACTGCTGTGTGCGATCCACTCATATCAGTGCAACACACACAAACATGCTACCACCACATAATTGTCACTGCAGTGCTGAGAATGATCCACCACCTAAATAATACTTGCACGCGCACACACACACACACACACACACACACGTGTGTGTGTGTGTGTGTGTTTGTGTGTGTGTGTATATATATATATATATATATATATATATATATATATATATATATAATATAAAAAATTTCCTCATTTCTAACAGGTCACGAAGATCAGTGCAGTACAGAGTGTAAAAATACCTTTGAAGGTGGTGATTCAGTTGCATCATTTTTCAAATTATAATTATATTTAATAAAGTAAGCACTATATTTTTTGGCAAAAAAATAAAATGAATGAAAAATTATTGTTATTGTGTACAGTTTTTTTTTAATGAAAGAAAAGCGTCCTACACTTTTTTGCCATGTTTTTCTCATTAAACAAAAACAGAAAGATCAGAATCAGACTCATTATAAATGACTAATTACATCTCTTAAATTGTAATGGGATTATTTAACTGATTACATCTTTGAAAGAGTAACCTGATTACTCGTTACTCTCTAAATGCCAAACACATCTGTACCAACTGTAAAAGGGAAAACCCAATAGTCATTTCAGTATTTTATTTAGAAAGAAATAACGAGTCACAGTAAGCATAATTTAAAAGCAGTGTCGTTAACCTTGCATTTGCTCTGTGCAGGGCTATTTATGCATACTTAAAATGATTCATTTGTCTAATGCTACTTGAAAAGCCTAGAAACTGGCCAGTTCATAACACAGCTGCCAGAGCAGTTTCTAATTGAAATCAAGTCAGTTTAGGTGAGGTTGAGTGTCTGTTCTTCAGCACAGGGATCTCTATCCATTAGTTTCATATTAGCGTGATTAGATACTTTGACAGATTGCTTGTGGCGTTTATGGTGGAGGAAACCTATAAAGGCTTGAGTGTGTGATTGACAGCTCTTCACACAGAAGCATGTCATCTCCTGCATCTGATAGTGTTCAGGCTGTCAACCCCAACCCAGTTCTTCCCTCACTGGCAAAAAAAGCATTTCTCCAGCTTTAGCAAACTGGTAGATGAAGGACCGGTTGATATTTCACTGTCTATATGCCAGATGGTCCAATTATTTTTAATATATCAGGAAAAAACATGCTGCGAATGATTTGTGCCAGAGAAACTGGTCTCCCTGTTTTATTTTTTCCAGACACTGTGTGTTATTCTACCTTCTTAGGCAGTGAACTCTAACTGCACTCAGTTACATAAAATGAAAGTTAATTTCAACTGCTAAAAGAAACTGCAGAATAAATTTTTCTCTCACCATCAAAGAAATAAAAGCTTGATATAGGCTTATTTTTCTGTTGTTTCCTGTAGAAAGTGGACACTACCAGCAGGGCGGTGATGGATATCATGACCAAAACCACGGAGTACCTGCAGCCCAACCCAGGTTAGATCCTGATAACATAACATAACACAACACAACACACACACACACACACACACATACAAACATGGCCAAATGTACAAACAGAAGTCAGGCTATGAGATGACTGCTACTACTATGCGATGCACTCAAAAGCAAGTCTATTTGAGATTATTTAACAACTCGTCATGATTTGAGGAAGTTGTGTGATGATTTAGGCATGTAGTTATCACCATGCTAATTAGTAGTGTATTAGTTTCCATTACTTGTTAGCTACATTAGCTCCAGTATGAAACTAAAATTTTAGGCACGAAACCTGTCTTGGCTGATTGACTACATTGTAAAGATGACTTGTGTTAAAAATTCAGTATCCTGGGAGCTGACAATGTTAACAAGTTAATGTACTGTTAACATACTAAACAGCTGAAACACTACATTTTTACAATCATAACAATCATATCAATTTAAGCAAGCAAAGGAGAATTAGTCCAACTCTGTGTATTTATTAATGTTTAGTGCTTGCCATTTATAACCGTGTTTGTTTATGTATGCGTGTGTGTGCAGCGACCCGTGCTAAGATGAGCATGATGAGCTCCATGTCTAAGATCCGCGGGGGTGATAAGGGTCCGGGATACACACAGACTGAGACCGTACTGGGAGAGTCCATGCAGAAGTTCGGCAGGGAACTGGGCGAAGAATCCAACTTTGGTAATTTCATCACAATTTTATCTCAGTTTCTTTAAACATAGCACATAACATAAGAACTATCACTCAGATTGTATGTATTTGATAGTTTAGCTCAGTTTGTGTGTGTGGTGGGAAGAGTTAAAGAAAGAATTGTCATAATACGGAATGGCTCTGGATGCAGGGTTGTCATGGATACAAGAGCGATGGTGCTTTCATGGATGGAGGATTGTCATGGATGCAGAATGATAGAGCCACTATGGATGCCGGGTCACTATGGGTAGAGAATGATGATGCTACAATTGATGCAGAATGGTAGTGCCATGATGATAAGAGTTCCCATGGATGCAGAGTGATAGTGCAACTATGGGTACAGAATGATTATGCTGTATAGATGCAGAATGGTAAAGCTATTGTGGATGCAGGGTTGTCATGGATGCAGTGAGAGTTCTGCCATGGAAGCAGAATAATGGTTCTACCATACATGCACACTGCTGGTGATACCATGGATGCAGAACGATGGTGCTTTCATGGATGCGAGGTTGCTAAAGATGCAAAACGATGGTGTTACCGTAGATGCAGGGTAGCTATGGATGCAGAATGATGGTGCTACTCTAGATGCAGGGTTATCATAGATACAGAATGATGCTGCTGCTATGGATGAGGAATGATAATGCCATTATGGATGCAAGGATTTCATGGATGCAGAATGATGGTGCTACTATAAATGAAGGGTTACCATATATTCAGAAGGATGATGCAGATTGGTAGTGCTGTCATGGATCAAGGGTTGTCATGGACGCCATGCCAGTGATGATGATGTTACCATGGATGCAGGGTAATGGTGGATATAGCATGATTGTGCGATGATGAATGCTTGGTTGAAACGGATGCCTCATTGTAGTATTTCAGAGCCTTAATGAAGTGTGTGTTTCAGGCCTGGCTCTAATCGATGCTGGAGAGGCGATGCGGGAGCTGGGGGAGGTGAAGGATGCGCTGGACATGGAGGTCAAGCAGAACTTTATCGACCCCCTGCAGAATATGTATGACAAGGACCTGAAGGAGATTCAGGTTGGTTACTTATTGATATTTTATTATTTCTTGATTTTCGGTTCCTCTTAGTGTTTCCTCCTCATGCTCTTAGAGAGTTTTTCGTGACACCCTCGGCAATGCTCATTTGGGGACTGCACTTGCATTTCTGGACAAGCTACTTTGGGACAATGTCTGTTGGAGAAAATACTATTCAGATAAAACTGAATAGAATTGAATTGTCAGTTGTCATGTAGATAAACAACACAAAGCCTTCAAAATTAGGGCGAAGAAAACCTGAAAAATCACATTTTTCCTGGAGTTGCAAGTACATGAAGAAATACCTTTTGTCTAATGGTTGGCCAGGATCATTTAATGCAGACATGCACTAATTGCTGACAGAAATGTTCAATTGCACTTGCACAGCTTGTACAATCTCCATAGAAAAGCATTCCTAATAGAATAGGACACTTTGGAACAGCCTAAGATCACCAAGCCCAGTGCCAAGCATAGAGGGGTAGAAGGATATATATAAGTTCCCCAGCTTTGGGCTGTAGAGCAGTGGAACTGCGCTTTCTGGTGGAGCTCTATCCAATACCTTTAGGATGAGCTGGAGTGGCATTTGTGATCCAGAAATGATCGCCCAATATCAGTACCCAACCTCAGAAATGCTCTTGTGGCTGAATGCAATCAAATCCGCACAGAATTGTTCCAACATGTAGTGTAAAACCTTTCAAGAAAAGGTTGCTCATCAATCAGATTTAGTCTTAGAAACAAATTTGAAGCATTTAAGCATTAGCAACTTATACCTTGAATGTCTTCAAGATTGCGAAACATCAGTCAAGTGGGTCCAAATCTTTGACAGGTGCTGTATATTTTTTTGAACAAGGCATCGTGCAGCAGATAAATTTCAACGTTCTTGTCACGTCTCCTCGTTGTTCAGACTGAGACTGAGTGTCTGTCGGACTCTTACCTGCTGTAACTAAATGGCTTTACCAGCCTTTGGCAAGGACGCAGCCTTGGCCATATCCCAGATCGATTCAACCCTAAAGGATTTGTGTGTTTCTGCCACAGCATCACCTGAAAAAGATGGAAGGCCGTCGTCTGGACTTTGACTATAAGAAGAAGCGGCAGGGCAAAGTGACAGATGACGAGATCAAGCAGGCTCTGGAGAAGTTTGATGATTCAAAGGAAATAGCAGAGCAGAGCATGTTCAACCTGCTGGAGAGTGACGTAAGGAGTGTGTGTGTGGTGTGTGTGTTTCTGTCAGTGTCAGTGGTGTTTTTTTTTTTTTGTTCATTGATCTATTCGTTTCATATTTTGTTTGACCTGTCACCAGCCTCTATACACCCTATCACACACTGTGTGCTTTTAGCAGTCTCCACCAGCTATCTACAGGTAGAAACAACCATGTATGTATTGTTTATTAGGTGAACTACTTTGTATTAGCTGCTCACTCACTTTGTAAGAAACTTCAACCTTGTATTGCCACTCACTGAACACTTGTTCAGAAACACCTACATTGAACTTCCACTCACTGGTCACTGTATTGGGAACACCTACCTCATACTTCCAATCCCTGGCCACTTTATTAGAAACACCTGCCTTGTACTTCCACTCACTGGCCGTTTTATTAGAAACCCCTACCTTACACTTCCACTCATTGGCCACTTTATTGGAAACACCTACCTTACACTCCCACTCACTGACCACTTTATTAGAAACATCTACCTTGTATTTTCACTCACTGGCCTCTTCAGAGATCAAGAGAGGTTGGACATGTAAAAATCATTACTGTTTTTATTACATAAAGCTGTTTAGGTACATTTTATAAGTTGAAAAAGTGAAATAAATTAAAACCTAAAAAGGTAAAATATGGACATTTTAATGTTTTGGTTTGTTTCTTATTAATGCATTGTGTTTGTGTTGGTAGATTGAGCAGGTGAGTCAGCTTGCTGCTCTGGTCCAGGCACAGGTGAACTACCACAGACAGGCCACTGAGATCTTACAGCAACTTTCTGACAAAATGGAAGAAAGGTGTGTTTCCTTTTAATAAAACCACTGGATTCAGATTAAGAATAGTCCATGAATAAACATGAATTAATGAAGGTTCTGCATTAAGGGCTTGCTTTTCTAAAGCTCTAAGCTGAGTCTGAGAAGCTTAGTCTTGGACTGAAAAATATTTAGAATGGAAAAATCCACATGTTCATTTGGCCCATCAGTTAGTGATCTCTAGCTTCTCTGCTTCACCTGTAAGTTGTATTATAGGAGCTGTGAGTGTACTGATGTGAGTAGATTATGTATGTTAATATATGTTGCCATGATAGTGTTTTAACTGTATGCCATGATCTCTGGTTTGTGACTTGCAGAATAAGAGATGCTTCCAGCAAGCCAAGGAAAGAGTATGTGCCCAAACCTCGAACCTCCATGGACTTCAGCTCCAGTGAGACCCACAACGGGGGAATCAGCCATATCTCACGCTCTCGCTCACCAGGTGGGTTTCCACCTGTCCAGTCAAAATGGCCAGTTTGGCCAGTTATATCCTCATCCTTATATCCAAGATCAAAGCTTTAGGTACTGATCATCTGAAGGTGACGTGGTAGGAGTTTTGTTTTATCTTTATCTTTTAAGAATTTTTTAAGCTCCAGTTTTGGAAACTCATTTTCCCTCCTTATGCAACGGATCTGATCTCCTTAGAAATGTCTCCTTTAGTCATTTTAGATGCATATGAGAAAGAGATTTGCAAATGAGCAACTGTATGTTTGGGTAACATAGGAGGGGAACGTAATGTCAGTGATCTTTGAGAACAGCTTTTGCTGAAAGGACGCAACTCATTGGTTTTAAGATTTAATTTTCTTTAAACATATGTTTACTGCTTTTTTCCACTGGAAACTGTGACAGTAGTGGCACTGGCACAGTACTGTACCTGTACCTGTAAACAAGGTTTGAAGAGAGACAGAGTTAGGGGGTCCTGTACCTTCCATAAGAGTAAATAGACCTCTGATAAGAGAGACAAAAATTTAACTTGGGAATGGAGGATCTTCTGTTGTTTTCTTGAATGAAATTCTAATTTTGTGACAAAATGAATACCATTACACAAGGTTTCTGTCATCTTTTCTATGTTTTCATTGTGTTCAACATTAGTTTCCTCCCCTTGGATAAACTATAATCTTACCCAGCCCAAATTCATAATACAGCCGTTCAGTTTAGTTAACCGAGCTGCGTCATTCCAGTTTAAAACTGGAGAAGAGAAACTGCAGAAAAAACTTTTTACGTTTTTATGGTTTTACTTTTCATTGGGCCAACCAAACCTGCCTTCTGGTGACTAAATGATTTTTTACTACATATGGCAGATATTTTAGTTTATTAACTGAGAAAAAGGTAGGCTATTAGACCTGCCTGCTGTGTGGCACGTGCACAGAGGAATTAAACACTGCTGGGAGTTACTGAGCACTGCCGCATACATCAGCACCAAATGTCTGCACTGGTGTGTGCCCCTTCATTAAAAACAATGGCACGATGTTAAGCACAAAAATAGATTGTGAAAATGCTGTGTGTCAGTACATAGATTACAAAGTCAGACTTTGTCCACCATGGGAGCCCTCAAGACCTCTGACCCTGACTGTACAAATTCAGAGCCCCTCAAAACTCTGAAACTCAAAACACACCCAATTTAACTCACCGGTTCCCTCTGGGAAAAAAAGCAGTTATTTAGAGCAGGTGTGGAGCAGCCAATTAGGGTCACAAGTGATTATTGTAGGAAAGTAGATCTTGGAGGCCTGGCTATAAGTTTATTCTCTTATCTTGTTCTCTCCTGTTCTCTCTCTCTTTCTCTCTCTCTCGCTCTGTCTCTCACTCTCTCTCGCTATCTCCCTCAGCTCCTATGGATCAGCCGTGTTGTCGGGCTCTGTATGATTTTGATCCAGAAAATGAGGGCGAGCTCGGCTTTAAGGAAGGTGACATCATCACCCTGACCAATAAGATCGATGAGAACTGGTACGAGGGGATGATCCACGGCCAGTCTGGCTTCTTCCCCGTCAACTACGTCGACGTCCTGGTGGCTCTGCCGCACTAATCTCCAGATACACACCCACGAATATCGCCCTGAACCCCCGATTCCCACCACACACACTCCTCCTGCGATTATGACAAACACACCAGACATGAACAGCAGCTTTGTGCATGAGGAAAAAGTGCATTCGCGCTTTGGACGATTTGCAATTTGCCATTGGCACAACCTTACTGTTATTGAGTTGGAGAACTATCCTATGCTTTCGGTTTGTTTATTTTTCATGATTATGTTTTATCTTAAGGAGGTGTTTTTCTTTTTTTCTTAGTTATTTATTTGTTTGTTTTTTTCTCGGTTTGCTTTTGAGATGGTGTGAAAAAGTGAGTGCCCCAACCACCCAATCCCAATCTGTTTTCTATTTTACCTCTCTCTTTTTCTCTGACGCCAAAATAAAATAGCAGTCACTCTTTTCAGCAAGATGTAAAAACTTCACTGTAAATTGAGTATGTTTTTCTTTCCTTTACCATTACTGGGTTGGGGGGATATAAAATAAGTCATTTTAAATTTTAGCTTTCCTCCTGCATGTCCAAAATGCTGTTTCACCACAACACCTCAGCAGCTGCTGAAACTGAGCCTGTTGGGTTTTCAGTGCATTATAATTTAATCCTGACTTGTCAGATTCTGTCAGTATTAAACACGCCATCCTACTGTGTTCAGACTTTCTGCTTATGGTTTAATTGAGCCATGAATCAGTGACTAATGCTAATAAAGATGAAATCTGAGGTGATGTGAAGTATAAATGTTGGCGTGTCGTGAATATATCGAAGCTATTTATTGCTGAATGAAGCAAATTAAATATTTCTCTTTATGATGACGTAAAAGCAAACTGTGATATTTTCTCTGCATACTAGTCTAATATAATCATGTGATAATGTCTACAGATTTACTGTACTTCAAATTCTCGCTGTTCAGATCGTTTTGAAAACAATATGTTCGTCAGAGGCAAGAGATTATAACAGTTGGAGACTCAGGTTATCTGGGATTATGATCTACTAGCGCTGATAGAAATACATTTAGAGTTTAAAGAGCATACATTAATTTGTTGTTGTGTCTTTCACAGTGTGTCCTTTTTCTCTTATATTTTCAACTCTTGTATATTTAAGATTTCATAAATCACGATTTCTTTAGCTGGTTAACTTAAGCCATCTTCTCTGCCTATTGGACAGTACTGAATTAAAAATTTACAGCGATAGCTTGGTGAAAAGCAAAAATATAGTTCCAGTGCTAAAACTGAAAAAGCAAATTTTAGGCATCAAACATATCTTTGCTGATTGATTACATTTGGGATGATGAATAAAATCTGGGGAAATTTGATATTTTGCCGGCTTATCGCCTTTATTTATCTATGTGAGAAATCCTGCTTTGTGAAACATCCCTGGAGAATATTATGATCCAGATTCTAAAAACCTATCACATTTTTTTAATTGGCTTATAGTAGAGAAAAATGATGGACATCTTAATCGCTGGAGCAGTGCAAGCCACAGGACAGAAGTGGGATAGTGTTGGGATTTTGTTTTTTCTTCATTTGCGGAATGTGTTTGAATGAAGTGAATGTGTGTTTGTGTGTGCATGCATGTGATATTCTAAATGCAGGCCTAATTGGTGAGATAGATAAATGCTGACTGTACATAGGTTTTGTGTGAAGTTTGGGGGTTGTAGGCAAAGTGTTCTAAACTCTGAAACCAGTATTGTTCTGTTTGTTAAAAAGCACAAATGTTGAGAGTGCATTTCAGATTTGTTTAAGTTGGCAAATCATTGTGTTTTTTTTTTTGGCAACAGTTTTTTTAGGTGGTCATTATAATGCCTTGTAATTTCCTTATAAAGCCGATTACTGCTAATTAGGTTTGGCCATTACTGCATTATTAAGCAATACTCAGTTTCATGAAGCATTTTTCAGTGTTATATACATCAAAACACTTACCTGAGCACTGGCTGAGGATTTGATTGCATTCAGTAACAAGGGCATTAGTGAGGTCAGGTAGTGATAGGTTAGTAGTGATAGATCAACTAATTTAACTAGTCTAAATCAGTTAGATTAGTTCTGGATCATAAACACCACTCCAGCTCATCCCAAAGGTAGTGGTTAGAGCTGCATCACCCCAGAGAAGGCAGCCCAGAGCTGGCGGCCTTATATATCCCTCTAGCTGATGCTTGGCATTGGGCATGGTGACCTTAGGCTCGTGTGGCTGCCCCAGAGCTTACTATTCTTTTATCAGTATTTTTCTACGGAGATAATACAGTCTATGTGTGTTTAATTGAAGGCCTGTGTCAGCAATGGATGCACCTTAACATAGCCAAATTGACTCATTAGAAATGACATATAGTGTACATTAGAAGATTCTCAATAGTAAATCACCAATTAGACACCCCCATTCTCAAGTGAAGATTTCTTGTTATCCTGTACTTATGAAGTGTTAATGTCTAGTGATCTGGTAAAATCCTATTCTATCATGAATTGTGCCTATTGTAACATATTATAGCTTCTGCTCAATACCCAACTTGTTTAGTTGAGTGATATCAGATTGTCTCGCATTGCTTTAGTTTAGCATTGTTCATTATCTTCATTTCAATAAATGATGTGCAGATTATGATGTATAATACAAAAATAAATGTGCTCTGGAAAATGTTTTGTTCACCCTAATTGTGGATGGGCAGCCTGTTAATTAGCAGCTAAGCCCCTACAAGAGCATTTTAATGACCACCTAAATTAAAGTGTTACCCTTCTTTTTTACAATTGCATTGTTATCCTCAATGAGGTGTGTACAGATTTCTTTTGTGTTGTGTTTTCACCCTGTGTTTAGTTACACATCTGCAGCAGCGTGTTATTTTTGTAATAGTGATAAAGTATATACAGATATATAGATGTATTATCTGAAGTTCTAATGGGAGGATTTAGTAGCAAACACACTGTGTGGTGATTTTTCTTTTTCATGAGTGACTCCTTACCCTAATTGAGTAACATGCTTGATGTAATGGAAAGATTATAATGCTCAATATAACTCAAATAAGCACCAAGCTGTTCTGGAAAATTGGGTCTGTGGTGTCATTACTGCTTCAGCCACTAGAGGGCAGAGCTGCCAAACAGTCATGACTATTTTTCTGAAATACACAGTGAGAGTTTGGACTGAATTGAAGTTTTTAATAATCATAAGTCACTGCATAACTTTATATGTTATAGTTCTGATGTCTTGAGTATTACTGTAAAATGTGAGAAATAGAACAGAAAGGGACCCACTAGAGGTATTAAAGACCCAATCAGGATATTTATGATTTATGATGGATAGATAGATAGATAGATAGATAGATAGATAGATAGATAGATAGATAGATAGAGTGTAGCTAGATACAATGTAGCTACTTTTTGAAAAGTAAGGGCTACTTTGTAGCTACTTTCAAAGCACAATTGTCAGTATCTCTACCTGACACACCAAACAAGCCCAACTGAAAGTGTGGACAAGACACTGCATATAATCATGTGCCAGAAAGAAACATACAATTGAAAAGCTGCAAAAAAAAAGATCACCTAAAAGTTTAAATGTAACCAACAATCAAACTTAGTCAACCAAAGGCATAATACCCAACAAACATTTAGACTAAGTAAAGGCAAAGTCAATCATTCCAGGTTTTTCCTAACAAAAAGCAACAAAAATAACTATACAAATCAAACACCTTTGTGCAAAGCATGTTCAACAGTGGAAATAAAACTGCTCCAATTTAAACATTGCAGCAAGATATACAGACATGACATTCAGAGTCCTTTGCGAAACTTTAGCAGCACTTTAGCCTCAATATGCTCATCAGTGACCCTGGCTCTACCCAGTCCTCTCAATAACAGTCTATTATTATTAGTCTATTATGTTTTTTTCTGCTTTAGCTAAGCCGGGGTCGGCAACACGCGGCTCCACAGCAGAACTAGATTTTTAGATAAAATAACATAATCCTCCTTTGCTGTAAAAAAAAAAGCTCTGCTGGTCGTTATAACACCTTAAATGGCGCAGCAGTACATTCTGGTGCCTCAGGCACCATTTAAGGTGGAACGGGAAAATTCGAACAAGAAGCAAATGAGAAGCGACTTCAGCCTTGTAAAAATACAAACGTTGAAAGACATTTTACAAGAAGCTCTAGCTATTTTCACGGAAAAGTTTCCTGACTGAGAGGCGAGAAAAGCAGCTATAGCTGACCTAAAGGTTAAAGCAGAGCAAAGTAAGTCTGATTTTTCATTTATGTTTTTAGCCTATACTAGGACATTAGCAAATACTGAGACATATTAACAGCCAAGATGGCAAATGGATATAACATGGTAGTGGCTCCCAAGGTGGTTTCATTTTTGTTGAAAGGACAGAATGGCCCTTCTTAAAATTTCAGTTGCCGACCCCCTGAGCTGAGCCTACTATGGGGTGATCAGCACGTGAGGCGAGCGCGAGCCCATTTGCTCAAACTGTCTGTGGCTCAGTCAGGGTTGCACAGTCGCCACCAGCCCAGTTAACGACCGCATTCTATCAGAGCCAGTTTATGAGGAGCCTGGCCACTTCCTACTTCCCCCGTTTTATCAAAAACATGACTGTGAAATGCCAGAGGGCTCCCGCAAGCGAATCCTCAGTGAATGGGAGTAATCGCTTGCCCAGAACTTTCTCTTAATTTTAGAAAGTAGAAGGATGTATTTCACTAAAAAAGTGAAGAAAACCTACCTGTATGTTTCCTTTTATCTACAGCAAACGCGTTTGGGGCAGCAGAACATTAGCATTACTGCTAGTGAGTGCTGATTGGTTGGCGAGTGGAGCAGCTTATTGGCTGTTCGCGCTCACTGACGTCATGGACATACATGAGGCGCCGTTTTAAACTCCTATAACTCGAGTTTAAGAGCTCTTAGAAATATGACAGCAGTGTTATAATGTTTTATGCTATTCAGTTTTCAGAAAATGATTGTATTCTTTTACATTAAAAATGTTTAAGCAGTTATAAACTATGATTTTGCTCAAATGCTCCATCTTAACCCATTCATTTTGGACTCGCTCGGGAGTGCCCTCTAGTGTTTGAGAAATCTGGAAGTCATTACAGAGTGATAATTCTCCTCTCTACAAGTTCTCTGGTTCTATGGTTCAAATTTTCAAGCCTGTAGCAAAATTGTAGTGAAAATTATCGCTATAGCTACACAAAAATTTGTAGGCGCTACAGCTATTAGCTACATTTCATAAAACTGTAGCGGCTACAGCTAGTAGCTACAAAAATTTGTAGTTTGCTACAAAAAGTAGCACACTACTTAGCTACTCCCCCATCCCTGATAAAGAGACACACTATAAGGCTGAAAGTATGTGAACACCTGACCTATATGAGCTTGTTGGACATCCCATTGCAGAAGTATGGGCATTAATGTGGAGTTTTCCCCTTCTTTGCAGCTTTAACAGCCTCAGCTCTTCTGGCTTTCCACAAATTTTGGCATGTGTCTTTTGGAATTTGTGCCTATTCAGTCAAAAGAGCATTTGTGAGGTCAGGCACTGATGCCAGACGAGAAGGTCATGGCTTTGTGTGGGCCACTCGAGTTCCTCCATATCAAATTCACATGGGCACAGTCATGCTTGAACAGGAAAGGGCCCTCCCAAAACTGTTGCCACAAAGTTGGAAGAATTTAATTGTATAAAATATCTTTGTATGCTGTAGCATTAACATTACCCTTCACTGGAACTAAAGATCCAAACCCTGAAAAACAGCCCCAGACCATTATCCCTCCTCCACCACAACTGAGGGAGCCACTTACTCTTGGCACTATGTATCTTGTTTGTATTGTTTTTCTGGCATCCACCAAACCCAGATTCATCTGTTGTTTTTTAAGTAGCGATGATGTGAAGATGATGGAGACTCCGCTGACACCGCCTTATTTGTATAAGATGTTTATTACAAAGTAAAACAGTATCATATCAAGCACTATAAAATACCTGAGAGAGGATCCGTGCCAATTCTAAAGTGTCCCCTCCAGACCACTATAGCCAATGGCTTATATAGGCTGCTTGTTGTTGAAAAAAGGAGACAGAACATATGGTCCTTTTTAAAATGATCTCATCTATTTGGAACTAAGAGAAGAAGGGAGAAAGTGAGAGGGCTACTCCCTATGGGGCCTTTGGACCAGGGGCCCCCCATAATTTAAACAGTCCAAAACCTGCAAAAACAGAACACATGGAACTTCAGACCTCAACTTATACTGGAAGTTAAGAGTGTTTTTACTTTCTTCTATAAAAGCCACTCTTTTTAAATATACTTCACATCCACTAGACTACCAGATATTACAGCATATGTCATCACCCCAGAGAACGTTTCCACTGCTCCAGAGCCTAGTGATGGCATGCTTTACACCACTCTAACCAACACTTAACATTCTGCATAGTGATCCTAGGCTTTTGTGCAGGTGCTCATCTACGGAAACTAATTTCGTGAAGCTCCTTATGCACAGTTCTTGTGTTGTCGTTGCTTCCAGAGGCATTTTGCATCTCCTTAGTGAGTGATGAAAACAGAGGATAGATGATTCTTATGTGCACATAGCACTCAGCAGCCCCACTTTATGAGTTTGTGTGTTCCATCGCTTTTGGCTGGGCAGTTGTTGCTCCTATATGCTTCCATTTCACAATGATAGCACTTACAGTTGACCAAGGCAGATCTAGCAGGGCAGAAATGTGATGAACTGACTGGAATAGGTGGCATCCTATGACAGTGCCATGGTAAAGTCAGACAGAATCGCTGTGGCTTAAACATCTGAACTCAGTAATTAGGAGGGCCATACACGTTTGGCCATAAAGCATAGGTAGGTATGTAGGTAGTGTTGCAGCAGCCACTTCTTTACTCTAACATTCTGTACTTAATTCATTATATTAACTCTTTAAAGTGAAAATCAGCTTTATTGTCATTCCTTCTCATCACAGCCAGGCGTTCCATGAGGACTAAAGTATGTTTAAATAATCAAGAAGAATGCGTAACCCCCAAAATGCTCCAAATATCATACATGCTATGGTCTAATAGAGTGTGTATCTCTAATATTAGTCTGGACCACTAATACTAACATCACTATTGCTATAGTCTGTGGATCACTAATGCTACACATTACTACTATTGTCTGTATATCACTAATACTAAACATTTCTACTATAGTCTCCATATAGCTTATCCGAGATATTAACTATAGTCTGTGGATCATTAACACTTCACATTACTACTGTGGTCTGTTCATCATAGTATAGTCTGTGCATCATCGTTACTAAACAATACTACTACAGTCTGTATTTCACTAATACTGCATATTGCTGATATAATCTGTGGATCACTAATACTACACATTACTTTTGTGTATCACTGTAATGTTATCACTAAGAGTTAACATTACTACTATAGTGTGTAAATGACTAACACTACACTTCATTACTATAGTATATTATTAAAACTAAACGTTGCAAACACTAAGCATTACTTTAACAGTCTGTATATGACTAATACTAATCACTACTATGCCTGTGGATCACTAATACTATACACTATCACTATAGTACATAACCAATACTCAGCATTACTACTAGCCTGTGTGTTGCTAAAACTGCAGTTAATGTAATCAGTACTGTAATCAGTGTATTGAGATCAGCCAAATGCTCCAACCACCAGGATCAAAAGTTCTGAAACTATTATAGTAATCAAACTGCCTTTAAAACATTTTATAACCATCTTGCCTCATATCTGATGAGTGTGAACTGGGCTGAGTGAAGCCCACAGTAATGAAGGAACAGCTTGTATCAGTTCATGCCCTCAGCTCTTTTAGAAAAGACTGAAGAGTGCTGTTGTTTCTCAGTAGTAATCTGTCGATCCATTTAAACTGATAAGGTCTTTCTGAACCGATGCATTCATAGTTCTTGCATAATTCTTTTGGTTGATGTGAATAAATATCTTGTGTGTGTTTTAGGATGTAACAAAGTATCTGATTTCCCAGGATGAACTAGGGTCACTGCAGGTAACCAAGCAGCACCTGCAGAAACACTTTGAGCTCAGAGCTGCCCAAACTTAATTTCAATCAGTTACTCACAACTATAAATGATAACTTTCAATGTCGGATGAACTTTCCACTATCCCTCAAAGGCAGAATATCTACTATCAAAAGGACAGTATTACCAAAAGTGAACTACTTATGTTCAATTATTCTTATTCAACCTCCCCCCTAGCTGGTTGGCTCCATTATCTCCAAGTTTTATTGGAAAAACAAGCCACCTAGACTTAAACTAACAACATTATAAAAACCTAAACCTCAGGCAGGCCCCGAAGCCCCTAACTTTCAGCAATATCTATTTGCCAATCAACTACAGTATGTAGTCAAATGGATAAAACCTAATCAGATAGACAAACCATGGAGAGAAGTAGAACAAATTCTAACAAGTAATGAAGTAATGAAAGTAAGTAATGAAATTCAAATCTCAGACTTACCCTTTCTTAGTCCAACACTCAAACACCACCTTTGTTTTAAAAGCCTAATAATAACATCAACTCTAACAGCCTGGTGGAGATTTCACAAGCTCACAAACGCTATACTTTCACTCACCAAACACTCATATGGCACAAACCTGTCTTCCCAGCAACTATAAAGATACCAAATCGATACAAATGGATAGAAAAAGATGTTACGCATTTCTATCACATCTTTCAGAACTGTAACTTCACATCCTTCTCACGTGTAAACCCAGACATGTGGCATAGAGAACAACCAGTTTCTCGAATACAAATTCGAAGGAAATATATTAGCCCTCATCCCACCAATTTCTGATTTCCTCAATATTCTTTCCTCAAGTAAACTCTTATCCAAAATGTATAGATTAATATCTGAATCAGACCCAACAATCAAAAACCTTCACCTTATACAAAAATGATCTAAAATGGGATTTGCAGACACTGAAATTTGCTCGCACTGCTCATTAAACACACCAGACAACTATATACATGCCATGTGGTATTGGACACTCACTGAACACTTTTGGCAATATGTCATAAATCACTCATCTGCTGAACCAAGCTGCCCGCCTCCCCCATCACTGTGCTCGTTAGGTGACACATCAGCAATATAACATCAGCAAGATAACCAAGAAAAGCAATAGAGCACTGTTTGTGGTGCTAACCATCACCCAAAAAAAATAAATAAATAAAATAAAAATTTGAATTGACAGTGGGATGACCGTTATTGATTGAGTACTATGGTGCAGCCTCCAGACTATTTTTTTCTCATTTACTATGGACTAGGACTCAATAGTATTATACCTGGACTTGTCTGGTGTTTGTCATCGTTCTTGCCAAATTTAGCCTCTGGTCTCGCCAACTACTGTGTAAAAATGTATTTTTTCTTTACTTACTGTACTAACTGAATTACTGTAAGTATTGGAATAAAAATAACCCATTTATGGGATTAACGTAACCCAGCATTTAGACAATATGAAATATGTCAATCTAACCCAGGGTGTGTTCTGTCTAAGAGTGACCTGGTACTTTTCAGAATGTTTACATTAATGCTAAAAAAGTTTTAGGCACCTGAGTAAATTAGATTTAGAAAGCTGTTTATCTAGGCACTAAGCATTTATTTGCTCTGAAAAAACACTATTACAATAAATACAAATGATACAAATACAAAAAGTAGTGATTTTATGTACGTCAATGTTCATTTAACCTCATTCAAACCTCTCATCATTAGTATTTTCTAGTACTGTCGAGTATTATTTGTAGTTATTGTCCAACACCTGATTGGACTGATAAATACTTCATTATGTTAAATCTGGTCTGCTGCTGACGGAATTGAACAAATCTGATGTATCTAATGATGTGGTGTTTTTACAAGAATAAGCAGACTTACTGCCAAGATTATTCATTTAAAATAATTTACTTAGGTGCCTAAGACTTTTCTACAGTATTGCACATACATGTAATCTTTAGGAGCATACCCAATGCTCAATATATAGTACACATTTAATACCTGTAACTTTATGGTTTGGAAGTATTTCCTAAAACAACTCTTTTCCTTTCCTGTGTGAACCACATTTACGTAGGTGCGGCCATTTCCGCAAATGATCGCACGCTACCCGAGCTGACCTTTAAGAGAGATTTGCTGTGGAATGTAAGCTGATTTATATGCAGTTTGGGTGTGAACTGTGACGCAACAGCAGTTAAGGGAAGCGTTATAGATTGATGGAGCTTTTTATTCCTCTGATGCTCAGCATCACATGCACAAGCCTTCATGACAAATACATTTCACAGCTGCAATACGCAAGTGTGGGAGTCTTAGTGGTGTGTGTGTGTGTGTTTTCACAGATAACAGGGTTTTGAACGGAGACTCCAGCCCTGAGGAGAAGAGCACTAAATCTAAGAATGCTGGAGAGGACACTGCAGCCTCAGAGAACATTTATTTCTTCATTCTGTCTCTCTCATTCACACTGATGAACACAAAAGCATTCATATATTAGGACATGGGAAGGCGTTTTAAGCCAGGAGTAAAATACACAGTGACATCATGCTAAATGATATGCCATACACGGGAAGGGGCAATGGCATTAGGGCCCACTGTGCAGGGTGGCCTGCAGCCACTGGGCCCCCTAAAATCTTTATCTAGTCCCTCATGTAGATCCTGATACAACTGTACATCTGTGACTTTAAAGCCAATTCCCCTTAGAAAGCAAAACCACCTAAACCTAATGGCTTTAATGGCCTTTTTTCAGCAGGATTGTTTTAAGCTACCCACATGCAGCTTATTTTGTAATATCGAGTCAGTAGAGACAGTGTTCTTCTGAATTCTTTATTAAATATACTTTATCTTAAAAATGGAAATAACACACGTTAACATCAAATGTCATCCTACTTCCAAAGTATGTATTGTGGCGTCAGTCATGCCTGTTTCTGTTTATTTACTCTTAAAGAAATGTTGGTCCTGCTTATTTTAGGCTATTTATTTCATAGTAAATGATTTTGTTAGACTCAGTCTGCCAAGGAGTTTTATTTTGAAGGTTCTTCAAGAGGCGAGAGCTAGCAGAGTGTTTATCTCAGTAATTCAAGTAAAGCCAAGTATGGACCAGAACTTTGATTCCTCTGAGTTTCTTCTGAGAACCCAGCACATCACAATATCAATCAAGCCACACAATCTTTGACAGCAGCAACTACCTATGTCTTGTTTGAAGGCAGGGATAGTGACAAGCCTTTCTTATTAATACAATTTTTTGGGGGGTTTTCCCTTGTACAGTTGGTACATATGTTTTTGGATTGTAGAGCATAACAGAGTTAGTGATAATTGTTACTTTTCCAGGAAGTAGTAAGCAAACCCATCACAGTTTGAGAGTAGTAATTAGTAATTATGCTATGGGTTACTTTTTGAATAACTACCCCAACACTGCATATGGCACACTGCAAAATGCACATCATGAACAAAATTCAGGCTTTAAGGGGGCTGCTACTACAGCCTCTTGCAGCCTCTCTGACGCTTCATGGATAAGACTGGGCATCCCTGCTCCACAGATACAGGTCTAAAAACTGGCCCTCAAGGCCTGAATTTAAACACCCAAGTGGACCAGGACAGGGACCAGGCATGTCTGACAAACTTCAGCTTTAGGGCAAGGGTGTAATAGAAAGGTACTTAGTGTTAGATAATCTTGAAAATGTTAATAGCCCTTAACGTAGTAGCCATTTAAGTTCATTAGCAAATAGCAACCACATCCCAAGCACTAGTCAAGCATATTCTTAGCAGTCTTCCTCTAGTCCCCATATTGTATTCAGGAACCTACAATGTTGAGTAAAGCTTGGTGCCTTTCACTGTATTACTCAGACTGTACTGAACAGAGGTCGCACACCCTTCTCCTGTGGATCTACTTTAAAACCGCAGTTTTATTCCAACCTGAACATGAACATATTAACCCCTCTTATCTAACACAAATGCATCTGTTCCAGCCAATCAAGGACTTCAGAATAAGTTAATTAGCTGGATCAGGTGTGGCAGATTGTGGTTGGAACTAGACTTGTAGATTTCCAGTACCGGGGTTGGTGACCACTGGTCTAGAATTTATCGATCAAGCACATATAGAAAACACAAACTATGCATATAAGTGTGTATACATATGTTACTAAGTGAAGTCACATGATTGCTCTAGTCATATAAGATGGAAATCCATTTTACCACATTTCACTCTTTAACAGAGCCCTGGAAGTGAGGCACAATTACATTTTTGCTCTCCTGCAGTTGCCACCTTATCTAAGCTACGTAATCAAGGTCTGCAGACCCTAAATTACCTGGCACCACTGTGTCAAGAGGACTCTTAAAGGGTGAACTGCCTGGGGCAAGACTGACTTCTGCGTAATGAGAGTTTTCTTCTGCCGTCTGCCACTCCTAAGCCAGCAATCCGGACCCCTTCCTAAGGCTATATCCTGGTGCTACTGCCCTGAAACTTACTGGAAATAATCCTTAAAATCAGGATAATTTACACTATTAAAGAGAACACAAAGGCCACCAAATACCTACATTAAGTCACAATGCTCATTCCGTTCATTGTTTGAGCAAAATTAATCAATCAAGTTTTGCATGTGACCTGATCATGTTATGCAGACTAACAAAAGAAGAAATGTTTATATATCTGGTGTGAACTGACAGCTATAGGGGACAAAATATTTCTGATTGGAGGGAACTGAATCCAGTACATGATGCAGAGAAGGTGCGTATCAAACAATTACAAAAGAATCAAGACATTTGAGGTTGCTACAGTCCCCTTTTCCCTATATTGCAGCACAACACTATTGTTGGGAACAGAAATAATCCCTAATCACTATTCCCTACATTGTAGCACTTCATAGAACAATATTATAATGAATATATTTCATGTTTTAGCAAATAAAATGGTACACATTAGCCCGATTTGCTCATCACTGTGTAACAAATCCATCACAGTGCATTGCGGGTATCCTGTATCCTTTGTTGCACATAATTTATACACTACCTATTGTAAGAACTGATGATAGTGAATACAAGCTACTACAGCTCTAAGACTCAATATTCAATCAATATTTATATTGAAGAACTGAGCAGGAAAATAGTGTAATTACATGATTAATTTCACTTTAGAAAACATCCTCAAAACATTCAACTCAAACATTACACAAAAAAACAAACAAAATAAACAAGAATGAGTAGGAGATGCTTTATCAGTATAGGAATCACATGAAGCCTTTTTTCTCTCAGAATGAGCTTTGTAACATATGGAAATTATTTTTTTCCTGACCCTGAGATAAGACAGAGAACTGCTATGTTGGCAATTCGCTACATCTAAATTGGGAAGAAAGGTATCGTTAGCAAAAAAACATTTCTTCTTAGTCAACAAAAAGAAGGAAAAACAATACTGCACAGCAGTAGATTTACATTCACATTTGCCCCTTTAAACTGGGTTCAGTTGAGCGCTCCTGGGTCAACATAAACATACGCTTGGAAATCACCCAGTTTGTTCCCATCTTCGTCATAGTGGAGCTTTCGGAAGCACTGATCACAGAACAGACAGGGGTCCATCGGCGCAAGAGCGTCATTTGTTGTTATCCACCTGCCACAAGAAAAGCAAATTCAGTTTCCCCTCTTACTCCAAATGTTGTACATCTGCCAAAATCAAGGGTGTCTGAAATTTAAAGGGGAATTCCAGATTCCAGAATCTGTTACATTACTGCAGTATTCTGTAGCGCAGCATTGTCATTACTCAGCCTCAACAGCTCAATTTGCAAATTTATATTCTTTTCATGTTTCCTCTCATCAATGTTCTCTCACTACAATACCCAGCATGCACACAAATACATAATACCTACCACTGGGAAACGCTGTCATGTCAACCAATACTAACTGCTAGCTTAGCCACTGATCTACAGGTAACAGATACTTTGATAACTTTAGCTTTTCGCTCGCTGTCCTTCTCATCTGATGGGTCATTTTTGTCATTAAAGTAACCCATTCTCTTCATTGTAATGATGATTTGAAGACATGTATTACTGTTATATGGCTGCAGTAAGATATTTGGCTGTCCATCAGTAAAGACAGCTGCCACACTTCTCAAGCCAGCAAAAAATTTAAATTTCAAAACAGCCCAACCCCAAATCCACTCAAAGTAGCTGTAGTTTATCAAAATGTCCTCCCACCTTCAAGATACATAATCAGGGGGCTTTCCTAGCCTTTAAACTGGGAAATCTCACTCCAGAGACTATAACAGGGATTGTGTCTTTGATTTTTGCTGACCTATTGCTCAACAGCTTTAGTTAAATAGTGAAATGTATCAGAAAACTGTAAAATTATAAGAGGAACCATGATGCTAACCTGCTGATATACAGATGGCACACACAGCACTTCCGGGTCACGACCCTGTGTTTGTGAGTCACGAGCGGGTACAGCGTTGCATCCAGGCAATCATCCCTGTGGGCCAGCCTTACAGAACAACAATAAAACATAATTATATTTTATAGTCATTATTTAATGTAACCCTACAACAAAGTTGTATAATTATCAATGTTAAAAGCCATAACAGCCAGAATTTTATTATGGTACAAAATGAAGACAGCTGTTTCGATGCCTTGCTGCCTGTGCTGTCTTATAAATCAGTGTCTTAGAAGGCAGCACTGTCCACTGTGCTGGTGCCAGCAGTGCGCGAAATACCCCCTGTTATTTGGTGAGTCCAATGTTGGCTGGCTACTAACTCGTGTGCCAAATCAGCACTGATGCTTCAATGCCAACAAAATGTTTGGTTTGACAATTCTTCTACTGAAAGTGCTATTTTCTAGTTTGGCAATGTGCTTTTCCACACATTAACTGAGATCTTACACGTCTCCTCTTCCGTCTTCAATTTGAGAAATCACAATTTACTCTTTCCACCAAACTCTTGCAAAATTAGACTACTTTTCAGATTTACAAATAGGCTGTGGCACACTATAAAGTTTTTTCAGAGGTATTGTGGGCACAGTTACAGTTGCTAGGCTATGAAGGACCAACAGGGTGAACTAATTTGCTACAGCGCCACCCTGAGGCAGACCAGTGCTGCAGCTCTAGTTAGTTAAGAAGACCACAAATACAGAAGCTTGCTAATTGTGTATGAAGCAGCTAAACAATTATCTTTGCCTGAATTTGTATTTCAGCATGTATTTTTCCCCCTAATGGACAACATAACGTCATAAGTTTATTTTCAGAGACCCCTCAGAATTCTGATTGAGATATTCAAGGGGTCCAAGAGGATAATTATGTTAATAACTATTTCCACCTTGAGTGGTGGTGTTTTGTGTCTTTTTTTTTAACCTCATCAGTGCGGACACAGAGGATTCTGGGATATGCAACACAAAAAAGAACACATCTACACTGCCTTCAAAGAACAGCCAAATGGACCAACCTCCACAGACAGCACTTTATAGAAATATTAGATTCGGACATGACTGGGTGCCTGCCTGCATCAGAATACTGTATGAGTAGGCAGCTTCTGTTATGGTTCAGACAGAGCCTATGTAACAGTAATGCAGGGATTCCTAATCACTGTCCTGGCCCCATATGATGCACACTTTTGAGCTTTGTCTCTGAAACCAATTAACAAGCTCCTTGTGGGGTTGTCAGGTGTGCAGAGTAGGGAAAACACAAAAATGTGTGTTATTAGCAGCATTCAAACCCATTGAAAAAATACACAATATATGCACACCTACAACCGCCTCACAACCACTGAATTCTGTATTACTTCACCACGTCTCATCCTTGTGCTGTTAATGGAAAAATCTCTGACTCTAATGCTGTTTGCATGGAAGTGCAAATGTATTACAGTAAGAACCCATTTTGTTTAAACTGAGGGGCTGACAACTTAATTTTTAATGAGAACTAGGCTGGTCAGCAAACATGCTGAACAACTACATTATTAATATCACAAGTACTTACGACGTGATTCACTGTAAAACTGCAATATACAAGACTAAAGAATGTCACTTGAACGTCTTACACGCCCCAAATGTCTGTGTTTCAGTCAGATCTGCCTTAGTAATATCAAACCCATGCTGAATCTCAAATGGCTCTGTGCTCTCTAAATAATGTGCTAAGGAAGTTTTGAAATTCTAGCTTCTACAGCCGAATAGTGCACTAATTGGTGAGTATGGATGTGGCTGAATCCTAAATGACTATTTCTTAGCTATATTATGGACTGTTGTGATGCAGGAGCCATTTGAGATTCAGCACTAGCGTAGGAAAAGGGGTGCCTTCAGCTTGGTGCCAATACTCATGGTGGTAATTTGGTGACCAAAATGTACTTATAAAGTGAAGGTTTTTGCATTAAACATTACTATGTTATGTTCATTATTATATGACAAAGTTTGAAAAAAAAAGTTCATGAAATGACTGCAATATACAACGAAGGGCGACCAAACATTCCTCTCCTCATTCAGCAGTCCATGGTTCGTTGGCAATGATGCCATACTCTAAAGAAACTACATTTCTTGGCAAAATACTTGTTTATGTCAACTATTATTAATAATAAATGATTTACTAAAAAATTGTGTATTTTATGTTGGCCACTGTTTTGTTAAAGCAATAATGCGTTACTGCGATTTGAGAGGAAATGCTCCAATGTTTTCCTCAAGGGATGATTAGTTAACTTTTAGTCAAAATTGTCTGACTTTTTGACTGACCCATAAATAATAATTTTACCTCCCAAAATTTGCATTTTTAAACTAAAAGATGAGTATTATGACTGAGATGTGAACCATCATGGATCTCATGTGAACATCTGGTGCAGATTAAAAGAAAGAGGACAAAAGTTTTACCTGATATCAGTGAGAATGACCACATGCTCGCAGTCGCCCTGGTGACAGTACAGGTATGGATAGCCCACCTTCATTCTCAGGTCGTAGAAAATTGTGTCCTCCATTTTTGCTGTTTTAAAATCTGGGAAGTCATTATTCTTTGCCCAGTCACGGGTGGTCCTTTAGAGAGGGGGAAAAAAATCCATAAAATCCCTTCCCCCTACTCAGTAAGGGAGCCTTTCTTGTTGTATTGCATTTCCCCCTACTCAGTATGGTAGCCTTTCATGTTGTATTGCATTTAAATGGCATTAACTATGGGTTATCTAGCAATCCCAGTTTATCAATTAATCAAAATACTTCAGAAATTACAGTATGACTACAAGCCTCCAACTAACTATAAACATACACTTTTCACAAGCAGATAAGCCTTGTGATGTGGTACTTGGCATTTGTGGGAAAAGACACAGACAGCATGACCTAAACAGGATCCTGCATATTCAAATTGATTTCTCACATTATTCACAAGACTCACCCTTTATGCCTTTGACATTTGAGTAAAGCATAAACCTTAAGAGGCATTAAGTCTTAAGCATTTTTCTGTGAGACCACAGCTGACCCTTTTCATGCCTTTATTGACCCACTGGAGGTTTACTGCTCAGTCTGTTCTTTTTACATGGCCATGGTGTTTCAAGGTACAGAAAGAACAAATCGATACACAGAGATAGAAAGTAAGCTTTACACTTACTCAGTACTGAGTACATTTTTCTCTCTAACAGTAGTTTTTGAGTAGAATTAAATGATGGGACTTTAGTTCATTTGTAATATAGTACTTTTATTTCACTACCTCAATTTTCAATAAAGTTACAGAATAAAAACATGCTCATAAACCAACTGCAAGAGAGCATGGTTAAATTTAAAAGATTCAAGTCTGAAAGCCAATCAAAACAGAGCTAAGTTTAGAGATTTTGAATTTCGTGGTGAAAGAAAGAGGACAACATTACAAGCACAGATGAGGAACATACTTTAGCCAAACGGTTGTTTGTTTTCAAATGAACACAAGTAAACGGCATTATTATCAGCTGCCTAATCTGCCTCCTGAAACCTGCCAAAATCTCTGCTTTTCACAACTCAACCTCCAGCCTGAGGCAGCAGCTGTTAGCTCACTGCCTTGATAATCCTAAAAAGGTAGGTTTACTATTTTCTCACGCTTACGCTGTTGTTGTTTTATGCAGAGCTGAAGGCTGGTTCTGATGAAACACAGTTAATAAAAGGCCTAATGCTGTTTTGAAATTTTTCAAACAATATAATCTCCAACTGCATGTTTGTATGTTTTTTAAACGCATTTTTTTTTCCCAACCACTGTAATAATCTCCTGCTGACTTCTCCACTTTAACCTTTAATGCTGATTGAGTGGGAATTGGTGGGCTTACTTGCTGATATCCCGACATTCTGGAAACCGCATGTCATTGAAAAAGGTCCCTTCAAAGAAGAAGAAAGCAGATTTGTAGTGATCCTGCAAAATAAAGAGGAATAAAAATGTTTCAGTTTGCCAACTCTGTGTGGAGTTGCCAGTTTATTAGGTCCTAACTTGTATAAGCTATACTTGTTTATCAGAAACACCCTATCACATAGGTCAGGGGTATAAAAGGGCCAAATTAAAAATCTCATCAAATCCGTGGGCCAGAGAAATTTTTTTTTTATTTAATTTTGAATTAATGTTGTGCTGTAACATGAACTGGCCACCGTTTATTCAAAATATGAAAAAAAACAAACAGTAAAATACAGACATTTGTAATAGACCTTGAAATATTACATGGACACTTCAAATACTGAAAATTTGAATGTCCCCAGGTGCTCGGTCTTTCAAACTAAGACCGTGCTTGAACTAGTTACCTGGCATCCTTTCTTTGCTGCAAGTTCATTAATACCTGGGCTCAATTTCTGAGCTGCTGAGCTAATGTTAAGTGTTTATATCCATTGAACTGCAACTGAAATGCATTTGGGTGATGTGATTGGTGTGGAATTGCGCAGAAATGTGTAGAATTGGGGTGTAACCGCTGTCCCATAGACTGTTGTTGGGGTAGGAGAGTTGGAGCACATTGCATTGCAGTGCATGCTGGGGACTGTAGTGCAGCACATTGTGAAAGAGGCGAATATTAATTGAAAATTAAAATACTTTTGCAGGGCGGATAGGATTGTGTGGCGGTCCTGATCTGGCCCGTGGGCCTTGTGTTTAACACATGGGACATAGGTACACTTCTTAGGTTTACAGTTACAGCCCATTTATTGGTGCATAATATCTGGTCAGTGGTGGTCCTATGGTGGTGTGAGGATAAATAAAAAGGTGCTTCTGATAAAATGGCTAATAGGTGTTGGCACAACATAGGAATGTCTAATAAACTGGAACTCAGTGTATACCGTCTTTAATAATGTAGATGAATGTCTGAAAAGCCCTAAACTCATATTTCTGCTAGTTACATGTAATTTAAGTTACTGAGTATGAGATAAAGGGATGAAGTTGAACCTTGCTGATGAACTGAGGCACCATGTCAGGTGTATTGCTGAATTCCCCAAACACCTGCAGGTCACTGACACAGCAGATAGCATCCCTCAGCTCGGTCAGCTTCTGAGAGCCCAGCACATGCAGAGTCTGATACGCCCTTACATACTTGAACTGATGACAGACAAACAGTTGATCCAGATCAGCATTTGGAATGACTTGTCATATTAGTAATTTTCCTATTAATAATTTGCACAAGATGCACAGGACTAACATATTAGTAGGGCTGTCCCAAACAGCATCTTACAACCTTTGAATCCCTGTTGATGTTTCTGAATGAGTACTCAAACACTCGTCCTCAATGCTGCCTTTTAAACAATAGTATTTATATTTCATAATTAACTATTATTTTTAACTGTTAATTCATTGTTTATGAAAATAGACAGCAGTGACAACACAGAAGTAAGTTCAAGATCTAAATCTTTTAGAATCTTTTAGAAGTTCCATTGCAAGTCAAAAAACTTCAATAGATTAACATAAATGACATTCAGGACTAAGGACTCACCAAGTTATTTCAATGTTTTATTCTAAATTCAGATGTACAACTATTCATAACTTTTTAGGAATCGCTTCATCTCATTAGCTAGCCTGTTATCTTTGTCTCCGTTTCTGAGCTCCACGGAGGCTAAATGAGTTACTGAGGGTTCAGTTTCTACATCCTAAATGTCATTCAACAGAAAAGCCATCACCAAATAAACGTGTATTTGGCTTATACTTACTTTGTTTAAACATCTTTCACTGACTCTTTCTTTCTTTAGTCTTTCAAAGCAAAGGGGGACTTGCGCAATCATAGGGAGAAGTGAGGCTGTGTTCAGCTTTTAGCTAAGGTTACTTGGGACTGACATGATTTCCTTTACAGTTTAATATTATAACCATCATAACGTAATGCCGTTTTCTCCTGGCTTTATGGAAATGTTTTCTTTACAAACAGTCATAAATAAACCTCTAACTCAGGAAATCCACTAAGTCAGGAATCCACAAATGTGTGCAAGAAATCTGTTAAGGTCTAAAGGGTTATCCAAATTTTAAATAAGAAAACTGATAAATACTTCACTATTCAAATTATTCAAGCCAGTCCTACATAACAGAACCATTTCATACTTTATCTGCAACCAAGTTGGTTATGTTTTATTATGTGCAACCTGAAGGTGTTGCCTGAAACTGGTCAAGCTTTCTTTGTATTTGTTTAATTTTTTCACTAGAGTGTTTGGAACCTCTTACCCGCTCAAAAAGGACAGGATACACAATGTTGAAAGTTAAAATGATTTCCCCCTCAGGTACTGAGTTCTGAGGGTTGTCAGTCTTCCTGCCCACAGCAAGCATCTCCTATGGCATCAGAAAGTATTTCTATCAATGTCATGCATCCACTGTCCACTTTATTAGAAACCTCTCCCTTGCAGAGATACCTTGCTGGTGTACAGTTAGACACTGTAGCCCATCTGATAATGCACAACATGTGTTAATAATCCTCTAGCCTTTCATCAGTGGTCAGCTTCTGACCTGCTCTTGCCTGGATATTTTGTGTGATGGTCCACTCTCAACCTAGCAGTGATACTGATGTGTGTAAAAACTCCAGCAACACCGCTGTGTCTGATACACTTGTACCAGCACCACACACACTACTATATCAGTGTCACTACTGTGCTGAGAATGGTCCGCCACCCAAACAATATCTGGTCAACAGCGGTACCATGGTCAGGAACTGATCAATGACAAATGTGGTAAAGCGAGGCTGATAATGCGGCAATAGATGGGCTTCAGTCTGTAAGTGAACACCTTTACAGTGGGTGATTATATAGCAGGTGAGCTTGTAAAGTGGCCAGTGAGAGGGAATGCAAAGTAGTGGGTTCCAATAAAGCGGCCACTGAGCGCAGTGTCGAGATACAGACTTTTCTAAATAACAGTATTAAACAGCATAGTTCTCATGGTTCTACATAGGTCAGTTCACTTTTCTTTATCACTGTGTGCACACTGCATGTATTAACACATACTACATACCAACTAATGTAAGCTCATTCAACGCACCATTTCATTGGCATATATGTCATGTCTTCCAATGCTTTCCCGTACAAGAGTCTTTTTATAATCTTGCTTCTTCTTCCGAAGTCTGATGAAAGAGAAAGAAAAACACAACTGCCTGACATATTGCTGACATGGCAAGTGATTACACTGCAAGCAGATAGCTAATGTAAATAAATAAAGTAGAACTACTCTATTTTAACAGAAAAAGCAAAGAATGGGGCCATGTTCAGTAGCTAAACGCTGCAGAATGCACAAATACATATTGCTTATGAAGGAGTTGGTATCTCATGAACTAAATGAGCAAATATGCTCAGTGAAATGACAATCTATGTGAACACTGTAAGGCTTTAGGCTGTAATGCCAGCTATACACTGGACAAGATAAACTGTAATTGGAAGTCATTTACTTTTGCCAGTGGACAAGTAATTGGCCATTTACACATGTGGCGTAGTGTAAGACAGGTATAAGTGCTGCTTTAGATTGAGCACTTTTTGCCACTTGCGTGGCTTGGACTTTGTGAAAACATACTTTAAAGTTGCCAACTTTGGATCTGGAGGCACAACATCTGGATCTGGAGCTTCATCTGCTGGATGGCTCCGCAGGGAGTCAGTGCTGAAGAACAGAAGAAGGCATAAACAATATACTTCAAAATTAGAAAATTGTTATACTAGTGCTAAAACTGACAACTATACACAATAAAAGACAAAAAAGTCTTATGCTAATCATCATAACTACACACAAAGATTTTCAGAGTTTTTTTTAGTACAGGTAATGGTTCTATATAGAACCACAAGTTCTACATAGAACCATTTCATACCTAAATCGTTCTTTGCATGGTGAAGTGGTTTTTCAGATTAATAGCGAATGTGTTGTATTTGGTTGTGTATAGAACCTTTTTGAAAATGCTTTTACATAGCACCAAAAAGGGTTCTTCTATCGTTACAAGCTTGACATCGTAACAATACAAGAACCCTTTTTGGTACTACATAGAACAATACACAACACATTCACCATCAATCTTAAGAACTACTTAACCAAGTAAAGAACCATTTAAGCGTGAAACGGCTCTATAGAGAACTACTGCCTTTACTAAAGAAGCCTTGAAGAACCATCTATTTTAAGTGTGTACGCCTCATATCAGACAGTAAACTAATATGGTAGTGATAAACACACAATAATAGACAAAAAAAGCTTAACTTGTGCCCTTGCTAAACATTATAACTAGACATAATAACAGAAAATATTTGAAAACAAAAAGTAAAGTCGTATGTGCAAAACATACAGGAGGAATCTGATCCTCACACTCTGAGCCGCGCTCTGAACTTTCTGAATGTCAGTACACAACTATAACAAACAGAAACCGTGTTACATTAGATTCTTTAGAGTCCTCTGAGAGGATATTTGTTTTATGCCAATACTAAACATCATATCTACACTTTAGGTCAGCCATTGAAGCCTTAGGTCAGTGCTAATGCAGTTAGCCAACACAGCTGTACGGTAAACTCTCCGTTATTTTCTCCTGTTTACCTGCAGATCGTTTTGAGCTCCTCCAGCGTTTCCGCAGAGACCCCCATCTCCTCCATAAACTCCACGTCCTCCACCGCGGGCTCCGTTTGACTGAAGGAGTACTGTTCAGGTTTCAGTACTTCTAGCCACAGATTTCTGAAAGCGCCAATGTGAAAAGGTTTTGTATTCACGTCGACGTTTTCATAAACCGGCACATTTTCCATCACTCCGCCTTCCGCCATGTTTCTCTGTTGACGTACGTGACCAGCGCAAGGTTACCTGGGAATTGGAGTTTTACCCCGTCACATTCTTCTTCTGGTAGAATTAACGGCGAAGAGGTGCATACCGCCACCTGCTGTGCTGGAGTGTGGCGAGGACAGACTAGGCCGAGTGGATGGTCTGTTAAATACTACGCCTGTTTAGTGAATTTTAGCATCTTTACCTGTCACAGCGGTATTTCGTGTCATTTATCCGGATTTTGTCTGAATGCAGTCTATTTATCACGTGAAGAGACATTCATAAATACTGCAAATGTTATCTCAAAATGTATAAAAATAAATGTTTATTGTCTATGGTAAATACTGTGTAGCCATGCGTAGGTGAGTATATTCAATAGTATAAAGAGTATATTAAATCAAAATATATTACTTATACAGTCATTGTCAAAAGTGAGTTGGTGTGATATATATTATTCAGGTAACATAGACTTTTGCCTAAAGTAAATTTAAAGCACTGTATTTTCTTAAGAAATATTTTAGATCTCCTGATGCATAATAAACAGTTGTGGTGTAGTGTGTTTAAATGCTGCAATATTTAAACAGTTTGGTAGTTTGAGCTCAGAATTGGGTTTCCTGCTTAAAATACTGGCATAGATCAGCATACGTTGTGATGATGTGCTGGTCAGCAGCAATGAAAGGAAATATTCTGATTACCCAGCATGAGCAGCTAAACAAGCACTAGACCAGCATGGAATTTATTCTGCTCTGTGTTGTTTTTCTTCAGCAGGGTTTTAGAGTACAAAGGTATCTTCTCAAAATGTTACAGTACATTCGCTTACTCAGTCTTTAAAATGGGTCTATGGTGTGAATGACAACATGTCTCTGAGTCTCCTAACATAATGTTCACTTCCAAGTTTGAGAGTCTGTGCACGGTGCACATGGTCCAGTTAATGTCAACCCAGCATTGGAAAATGATTGTGTAACCAAGCCATACACACCAGTCTCTACACAGTCTCATCTACGTCCATTCAAGATCTGATGCGTATCACCTATGTCATGCAACTAGCCACTTGCAGGCAGTGACTAAAGTGATTTTCTTGGCAATTAGCATCAGCTGTCATATATTGATGAAATATTTACCCGCATAAAATTTAAATTTTTTATTTTTTAAACATTTAATATTTCATTGCTCCTTCTTACACTCAAAAGCTATGTCCAGCATTTTTCCATTATTTAAAAGTAAATATGTTAAATTTCAATACATTACATTTGTTTAAATTTTTCATGGTATTTTCTTGTTTCTTATAATGTTCTCTTTGTCTGTGTGTAAATGTTTTATTGCGTTTTGGCTAATAACATCACACAAAGCATGACTTTATTTCATGCTGATTAATGTGCATCATCCCTGATAAATAAATAAACAAATCAAACGCCTTCAACTTCTGCTTCTGTTGTCCAGCTGCATTGACTTGATCCCTCAATCTCTCCAAGGGGCCATCCACCAATATGGTATCTCACAAGGCTCCTTACTGCCCCCCCTTTACATTTAGCCTCATAATTTATGAACACAATGTTACTTTTCACTTTTAAGCTGATGATACTTCATTACATATCAGTTCCCACCACATTTAGTGACATAGTTGCATGCTGTGGAAGATTGCAGATGACCATAGATTCATTCAACTAAAGTCTGATAAAGTAGAATTATTACTGTCGAGTCATAAAGTTCAATATGAGGTTGCAGATTTTATCTTTCACCTTAATGCAGTTGTGTTCTTTGCTCTGTGCAAAGGTAGCCGGCTGCCTAGAGCCCCCGTCTTACAAGGATACACAATAACCTATTCTGATATAGATTTTACATTTCACAAACAGCTGTTATGTACAGCTGTTAGGAATAATTGCATCAATTTAAAAGGCCAAAGAGAAAAAGAACAAAACATGGAACGTTCATTCTCCAAAGTGAGCTTGAGCTCAGTAATTATACTGACCGTAATGTGGTTGCTAGCTCTGCCATTTGAAGGCAGATCACACTCTCTGTTACCTGAACACTGGACCAGGATAACATAAGTAAACTAACATATAACTTGTATGCAGTCTCTCTCTCTCTCTCTCTCTTCATGTCTCTCTCTCTCTCTCTCTCTCTCTCTTGCTCGCTCTCCTTAGTTAATGCTGGAAGACCTATGTTATAATCTTCTGTCCACACTGATCCCCTACAGGCCCCAGTTTTAACAATGGGCCTCATTCACCAACCGTTATTCAGAAGAAATTTCTTCTTAAATCCCACGTATGCAGTTTTTATGAAGACTCTGACATTCACCAATGTTTTCTTACTTTGTTCTTAGGTAAAAACAGGATTTGTTCTTAGGTAAAAACAGAATCTATGCACACTCAAGAGCACAAAGCTGTGAACAATTCTGTGGTTTAAGAACATGTCATGGATCTGACGTAAACTTTTTATTAGGACCTTTCTCAACAACAAATTTAAGAAAAAAATTGTGAATGACACCCAATTTACCACTATTTTTTAATTTAATTTTAATATTTAAGAGATCAGAGATCAGTAATAGCAGTAAAAACAGCACCATCCCCCAGTGATAGTTATGATGGACTATTACGTGCTGTTACGTGATGACACCGCAGTGTAAATACAGTCTGGTATAAACAAGGCAATAATAACTCTACATTGTAAAGATGAAGTTCTTCTGTGTGATTTTTTTGGGTGTTGGGAGGAAAAATCGAATAAAGTTGTCAAAGTGCAGTGGAGAAATTTAAAATAAGGGAGAAAGTGAAAAGTTTGTCACTACACTCCCAAAGCTAACTTTGTTTTTTTTTTCAGTCAGAACAGAAAGTTGCACAGACTAAGCATAATGATAGACCTTTTTTGTTAGCGTTGTTGACTAATTAGCACAGACCAGACCAGCATGAATTCAATGCTGCTCTTAGCTGGTTTATGCTGGTTTTTGTTTGTCTTGTGTTGGTCTGGTGCTGGATAAGCTGGTCACCCAGCATACCAGCATCCTGAACATACGATACTGTGGCGTCTTGCCACTGGCCGTGCTGCCATATGAGCGTGGGAGGCCTGGCCATGCAAAGAGGCTCTCGGGAGGTTGCGGTAGGAGAGACATATATTGTTTTTGAAGTTGTTGAAGCTTGTTTAACATGTGTCTACATGAGAGTTATGCTATTCTGTGCTGGGTTGTGGGGTTGTTAGGTGGGTTAGATATATACCATGATGGAAAGTTGTATGGTTAGAAGTGATGTGCTTGCTCCTGGCTGTGTCAGCTAGCAACAGGTGGTGATTCTCCCTTGCTCAATTCTCCCTTGCTTGTTCAATAAAAGAGCATTTGCCTTTAAAGTGTGCTGAGAGTACAATATGCTGGTTTTGCTGGTGGCCGGTAAATTAATTTTCATTGCTGCTGGCTAGCATTCCAACATCCAAAACACATCACATGTGGTTTTGCTGGTAACCAGACATGCTGGTTTATGCTGTTTTATCCTGGCATGGAGTATAGGGAGGCTGGGGATTATTACTCCAAAAAGGTAATTCACTGCAAGCTATTCTTCTCTCAAAATGTAAATGCATTATTGCTTCTCTCGTAATGTAATGGGATTATGTAATGTATTACTTCCTGGAAAAAATAATTTCATTACTTTCAGTTCTTTACTACATTATTCTATATTAAATTATATCACTATGTTGGCAGACCATTTTGCTTGTTTGAAGCTTATTTCCTAAAAGAAGCCAAATTAACTGCCAGTATAGTAAGACCATTTTGCTTCATGTAATTACCTTTATCATACTTATTATAAGTAAATCAGAAATAAAAATGTTAATTAAGCTTTAAATATTCTTTCCACAGTCTCAAAATGAGCAACATTAGATAGACTGACTAGATTTAAGATTGTTTCACTTGCCAAGATATCATTTGTTGCAAAGTAGATGGATGTACCACTTTTGTGCCTAGTGCCTCAAATCATATAAAAATGTGCATTCAGGGTGGTCCATTCATGTCTTTTGTCCAGATGCCCAGAATCACTAAATCCACCCCTGCCTTCATGACTTATCTATGCAAGATACTAGTGTAACACTGGTTACTAGTTTAATGTTGCATTTTATCACTTGAAAAACACTTTCAAAATAAGACACATGCTGTCTGAATATGATGCTGAAAAATGAGTTCATGCTACTGAATTGTTGCCCTGCTGTTACTCAATTTGTAGCCTATGTGCTAACCAGGAAAAGAAAGATTAAGCACATAAATCTGGTCTCATTCAGCTGACACTGGCATGCTGTTAAGTTTTATCACCTCACATTTAAAGCCTTTAATTGCCTAGCTCTGGCATATATTACTGATCTGTCAAATCATCATAGTCTGTTCAGACCAATTTGCTTAGCTGAGGCAGGCTTACTCCAGCTCATACAATCTCTCGCAGCTCAGTTGGTGGAGAGTCCTACATGCTGGGAAATAATTTCAGAGAATGTTAGTAAACTTGATATGTGTTTTTAGCTCTACAATGCAGGTCTCTTGGCATCAGTACAGAACATGGGAAAAAATGTAAGATATGGGCCCTTTAAACTCAAAGATGGCTTTTCTTACATTTTGTATTTAAAATGTATCGCTGCTGTCCGAACAAAACCTCATATCTCTAAATTGACTTTACAGGAGAAGGAAAAAACATACTTTAATTTTAATGTAAGTCAATGGAACCAGTTTTTTCCAAGTAATTTTGAGCCATTTCATTTGGTCCATTCATTATGAACATTCCACACAAGGTAAAGAGCAACGGTGATTTTTAAATTACGTCAAAAACTGAAAAATGACGAACATGGAGATATGAAGTTTTGTTCCAACAGCAGCGATATACATCAATTACAGTTGTTTAATCTATCTATTTTGTTGTTGGGATATAGTAAGTTGCTGCCTTAGGTCATGGAGTCAAAATGAGATGAGAGCCAAATAACGTTGAGAATTCTGTATTCATTTTTGTATTCATTTGAACAAGTGAATAAAATTACATAGAGATAACAGCAGAGTTTTCCCATGTACTCTATCAATATGTGTTCTAAATGTATTCTGAATAGTTTAATGTAGGCTATTCTAAGGGGAAATGTTGCATATATTTATGACAGCGCATTCAGTATTCAGCCTTCACTACTGTTGCCCAACCCCGCTAATTACAAATGCTAATCAGTGAAATACCACGGGTGTGGAAGCTCGCGGGGCGTGGCTCCACGTTCGCCCCGCCCCCTCTCTGCGCACACTCCATAAAAACCGTTGGCTGAGCTGCAAGTGATTTTTGAGGTGGGAGTTCAGTCAGAAGTGGTTCATCAAACTTCAGTCTGACTGAGAATCAGGAAAGGCGCTGCAGAGCTTACAGGGACGGGTTTTCACGTCGTGTAAAGCTTAATTTTTTATATCCTCATTTTGCTGTCATTACTCTGTATTTAATCGCTTTGGGCGGTTTCCACCGTTGTGACTTAGGACAGAATGGCTCGAGTAGAAAGCGGAGGTTTGGGCGTCACACAGGTGCGTCTCACAATCAGGTTTAATATGGAAAATCTTTCATGAATTAATCTTAGTTGTAAAACTGAAACGTTTCCTAAGAGATTAGAGGACGTGGCGATGACTCAACTGCATATTTGCAGTCAGTGCTTAAATGATGCGCATGTTGTTCCTCACATCAGTCTGTAAGGCTGCCGTGCAAAATGAAAAGAATATATATATTTCATCAAAATATACATTTACATCTTTTCAGGTAAAGCCATATAAAATGAAGGAGGAGGAGCAGAATACTGTGCACACAGAAGAGGTAAGTAACAAATACTCTGAAACGAAGGCTTGGTCAGTTTCATGAAACAGTTACATACATAAAGATGTATTTTCTTTGCTTTAGCAGGCAGGTCTCTAAGCATTTAGCAGCACATAGTGCGTTACAGTAAAGAGGGAATATAACATTTTATGTTTAGAGAGTGTCATGCAGTAAAATAAGTATGCTGGAGTTTTAGCACAGTAGCCCAGCTTCACCTAAACATTCAAAGTATACCAAATTATGGGACTCCTCTCAGGATAAAGATGAGTAGTCTGGACAGTGGTGCTGAAGCACTGACTGATGTTAGGATTATTTTCAGAGTCCACAGGCAGAATAAAGGGCGGGACTGAGCGTCTGTTACTCTCACTCTTTCTTTTCTCTCTTAGAATGGATTCAAGGACGATCTGGACCACAGCACCGAGTGAGTAGATACTGACCTTACCATGCTGTCTTTGTGAGCACAGTAACACTGCTGTATTTGTACAAAATAATAGTGCAAATCAGATTTCAGATCATAACATAAAATCAGTAATTGTTTTCTTTATATGATTCATTGTTATGTAGATAAGAATGTAAGTCTCTGACCTTGCACTCATGCAATCAAAGGGATACAGAATTTCCCACAATTAAATTAGCATCTTTTTTAATATAAAATATTTTTCTTAATGTAAGAAATATATTATTTAAAAAGTGTTTTGTTTTTTAAAACACAGTACACAAATGAACATGAATTTTCATAAGGAATTATGTACACACCTTTTTGTAAAATTAATTATGCCAAAAAATGAGTGCAAGCTTTATTGATTATTTTTAAGTTATCATAATCAAGTGTAACATTCCAAAATCAGTGAAACTGAACTGCCACCTTCAGTTGAAGGCATTTCTAAACTCATCATTTTGTAATTTTTCTTTTCTTGTTCCCATGACAATGAATCTCTGTATGTCTTTATCTTTTGTTGAAATAGTCACTCAGTCACATTTAGTTCTGATTGTAGTCTTTGTCTTGTAAGTGCAGTTATTCTGTCAGAATGAAACATCATCAGGTGGCTCAGCTCATCCATGAGAGGCAGAGTTTGAAATGGGGTCTCTCTGAATCGTCTTGCCTCAAGTGCGTTGTAAAGGTCAATAAAGGCCTAATGCTTTTAGTCTTGGAGTCATGAGGTTCCATAACAGTGTGACAGTAAATTGGTCTTAGTCTTGAGGGCGTTTTTAAGCTGAATGAAAGTGGTTGGTGGGAGTGGAAAATTTTCAAATATGTGAGTTTTTAACAGGCGCTGGACACCGATCATCTTTCTTTATTCTCTTTTTTACTTCTCTCTGTAATAATCATTTTTACAATCTTGTGGATTTGTGGACTTCATCAGCGAAAACAGTTAAACATAAAAGATTCTATAAATATTTTAAAATCTTTAAGTATGTTTTTGCCTGTCTGTTGTCAGGCATGTGCACAGATAGGCTCCAGGGGAGCTTTAGCCTCTTCCTTTTTTGCCCTTGCATGCCCTCTTGGTTGGTGAGCATTTTATGGCTCAGCCTCACCCGAGGAAATGAGCTAGTGGTCTGGCTCAAGTTTAATGAGTTTCACTGCACTTTAAATTTCACTACATTTTCACTAGAGCCTGTTACAGACAGTTATAACTCTGGTTTCTCTAGTAATCAAATAGTGTAGTAGTTAACCCCACAGCCCTGTGCATAGGGAAGCTAGAGGTCAATACTCTACACAGAGAAAAATGGGCTGATTTGGGAAGGACTCCTAACACAACAAATACTTTCCTCTGACACATAATTAGTGGTGGTTTCATGAATTTGGTGGTTTAAAATGGATTGACCTTAATGACAGTTTAAGTAGTGATGGGTGTTTGTTTCTCTTTTTAAATTATCATGCTTTTTTATTATTTAAAAAAATATATTTTTATTTTATTTTATTTTGTTTTTTTAATATATACAGGAGTGGTCAGATGGATTTGAAGACAGCCTTAAATGAATGCTCAGTGGCCCTGAGTCTCTTTCTGAACAACAAGTTTTCTGAAGCTTTGGATATACTCAGACCGTGGTGCGTTACTATTCTGAGTACTCCGTATGTATATGTATATGTATAATCGTACTGCAATTGAAAACATTTTACCAGAGTATGTTGTGTAATGTAATGTGTAAGCAATTTGATTGGCCAGTTGGTTTCGGATATGTTTCAGAAATCTAATTTCCCCAAATTCCTACACATAGCCTAAATTGAAAGATCATAGCCCGAATATTCACAGCATCGTTACGCCGCAGGACACACTTTGTTAGCTTGTTGTAGATTGGAACAGGACTAATATTACTGAAGGAGCTCCGAATTCAATTACAGAAGACCATTCACTCCACAATTATTACTGTCATACTGTAAAACTACACACACTGCAGATTCATACTGGCTTAAAGTTACACTGGTTTTTGTTTTCTTTTTTTTCTTTCTTTTTTCTTTTTTCAAAAGTCTGTAACTGATTATTCTTTCACAGGAGAGAAGAGAGTGTGTATCACGCTATGGGATACAGCAGCATCTTGGTCATGCAGGCAGGAATGACCTTTGATCCCAAGGACATGCAGTCAGCCATAGTGGCTCTGAAAGATGCTCTCAACACATGCCAAAAGTTTGTGCCCTTAAGATTAAGATTAAGTTAAGATTTAGGAAATAGGAATTTCACTGATCATGTTTTGCTGTCTGGAATGACCGGTGAACTATGTGTCTCTTTTCTTTTTTTTTGTTTTATTTTATTTTATTAGTAGTATTGTAGGTATAGGTTCTGTGTTGTTTTATAAATGGATAAAAAAATAGGCCAAAGCTTTATCTAAAACAGTGTCTCAGGCATCAAACAGTGTATTCATGACCATTTCAGGTAATAACTTTCTTTGAGGCAGGTTTTAAAGGCATTAAAGTGTGAGTTTCTCTGGAACGGATAATTTCACATCAAACCTGAATGAAGTTGTTTACATTTTTACATCTTCCTAAATAATTGGAGAAATGGAGAAAATTAGTGAAATTATCTTTGATATAGACTGCTGAAAAGGCTTCATATTAACTTTTTGTAAAGCTGAGTGTGTACATCATTAGACATGCTTAACTAGAGATGGTTCTCTCATATTTCTGTCTTTCAGAATGAGGAAAAGAAGGAGCACCGTTCTGGAGGCAATTTCTTACATGGTGTACAAACATGATCCCAAACAGTTGACTGAAGGTAGGCCTTTATACCTCCCATTTACATATCTGCTGTACACTTTGTGTACTCACTGTAAAGCATTTGTATGTGCTGTTTAAATCATATAAGTAGTGCTGTGTCCATCCCTCACCAACCAGTCTGTATTAATCCAATGGGCTTAGAGGCTGCACCCTTGCACTTCACTAGAGCATTGCAAGCTAAATGATAGTATATTTTCCCAACTGATTTTACTTACATTGAGTTGTGTGCATGCAAAATGAATTTCTTTCTCTCAGGATTGTGTATTTGAGGGTGTGTTTTTGCTTCCTAAAATGTAATTATTTCTTTTTAATTTTTTAATTATAAAGCACTGTGAAATTTTGTAGCTAAGATGCTTAATTGTTATTGTTGTTGTTGTTGAGCATTTGCTTTTTAATCTCTGCACCTAGTTAGTGTGCAGATTGTGTGATTTGCTGCAGCCTTTGTAAACTAAACATCATTTTTACATGCTTTATAAATAAATACTGCAGTGTGTGATTTAAAACTATGGGCCTGTCATTGTCTCTTGTCCCTCTCCAGAGGAGATGCATGCTGAGCTGTGCTATGCAGAGGTGATGCTGCAGAGGGCAGCCCTCACCTTTGTAGAGGTAATGGCCCAGTGCACTCACTTTTAGCCAGGTGTTATAGCTCAATACCCCTATGTACTAATAACTCACTGCAGGTACCAGACCATAGGCTACCAGTGAGCTGCTTATGTAGTCCACTTTGTAGTTGTGTATGGCTTTTCTGAGATTTGACACTGTGTCACTGATACAGACTTGCCAGAGATTTGCAAGGATAATCACCTAAAAGACCAGACCTGAACCTAGTCAAATAGAAGTCTAGACATAAAGGACAAATACGTAATTTTTTTTTTTTCAATTATATGAAAGTAAATGATACTGAATTTGATCCAGTATTATAATCGTACGTGTGTATGTGTGTGTGTGTGTGTGTTTTTTCATGAGCAGGATGAAAGTATGATTGGCTTCATCAAAGCTGGACTCAAAATGAGAACAAGTTACCTCATGTTCAAGTAAGTAAACTCACTGTAACTAGTATAATGTTGTAATGCTCCAGTGCAAATGAATACAATGTTCAAAAACATTAATTGGATGTATTATCCAGTAGCATTGCTGTACTTGTTGATTTAAAGGGCCTATATAATGGAAAATAATTTTCCCTTATTTATTTTTTTAGTTAGTTAGTTATTTGTAGTTTGACGTAGTATGTAAATTCAGTTTAAGTTTTAAAATTCAGTTGACTCCCGAGCCATACAGTTAATATATAGAAACTATGCTGCAAACAATTTTATTCCAATTCATATTGAGGTTCTAAGGTGTGTTTCAGCCCTGATTGCTTTTTGAATGGCTGCACTGTATTGTTTCTCAATCAGAACAAAGATCCTTTATCTTGTATCAGCTTTAAAGACACAATAATAACAGTCTATTAAAGAGAAGTTGGAAAATGGTAATGTAAAAATGAATTAGTGTTGTTAATATAGTACAAGTGGACCTTTGGAGGGCAAAATAAACTACAAGACAAACATAACATATGGGCCCTTTATGGATAAGCAATTAAAATTTAAGGGTAAGCATTTTTGAGGAATTGGTCTATTTTTTGCTCTGTTGTTTAAGTGAAGTGATAAAGAGATTTTTGTCTAGCACTGGACGTAACCTGATTTGTTCTTTCAATCAGAGAGTGTGAGACTATGCTGGACCAGGTCAAAGACAATGACACACACATCCATTTTGTTGGTGGTGTCAACATGGGGATTGGGTCCTTTAACTTGGTAAAGTATAAGCAGTTGAAACGGCAGTATACATACTATTTTTGATTTTTTTTTAAATTGTGTTGCTTAATTAACAGCATGGGCAAAGATGCTAATTGAACAGGTACTACAGAGGTTTCCATCCATGTTTTCATGCTTATTTTGATACATTTTGTGCATATTTTGACATCAAGTAAAGACTTACTGGAAATGGCAGATGTTGAATAAAATGGGCTGAATCTGGGCCAGAAAAAAACTTTGGTGAACTTTTGAACTTTTTTGCTAGGGAAAGGATATGAAAGAAATTAAGATTAAATCACATTTGTGTAATAAATAATGTAAATGCAAATCAAATAAAGTCATGCCTGATCAGCTGGTTCTTTTTTGGCTCAGCCAAAGACAACAGAATGCGGGGGGGTGGGGAACTAAACTTGAGGTGGTATCCTCAAGTACCTTTAGTTAAGGAGACACAGTTGTACCATAATCCATTGAAATGATATTTTTACAATTCTATTGACTCCACACACCCTTTCTTCCCTCAAGGCTTTTTATTTGTTTTGTTCTGTTTTAAAACACTTGGTTATGAATATGTATGAATATGTACATTTGCCGTACACAAATGGACCTTAAAACCATTGTTGTACCTCTGAGGTAATTAGCATTTGTTTGAAGTTTGCTAAATGAAAAATGTACCTGCAAAGTACCTTTTTGTTTTGTTTTTTTTTTTGTTTTTTTTTTGTTTTTTAAACAGTGTATCACTTACCTAATGAAGAAATTCAAATGTAGCTTCATTTTACCAATATACCAACGGGAAAAAACACAACGGTGACAGACAGAAGGGGAGATTAATGGGAAGTTCTTGGGGCATTTGCCAGTGTGTTCTGTCTCTATGCTCCTATAATGTAAAGCACAAAAAGACAAAGCCATAAAATTAAACAGCAATGAAAAGCTACTGAAGTTTCTCTGTAAAGTCACTTCATATTTCACAGAAGTATTTTTGTAAGCATGATGCAGTTGCATACCTTTGTGCAGAGCTGATGGAAATGTAAACTGATTTGTGTATTTATTTTTCAGTTATTCACTTGAGTTTGACTGCTGGATGGAAACATGTCTACTGATGCAAAGTAATTGTCTGTGTCTGTGTCTGGGCCTGTTAGATGCTGTCTCTGTTCCCTGCGAGGGTTCTCAGGCTCTTGGAATTTGTTGGTTTCTCAGGAAACAGAGTGAGTTAAATGCTGATATTTATAGTGTGCATCACAATGTTTCGTTTTTTAGACATTTCATAATTACCCAGACAGAAAAGAACCAGCAGCGGTTCACAGTATTTTAATTAAGCATTTCAAACACTGTGCTACAGTAAATCCAGTTAAACAGGACTTATGATCTCTTATTGATAAAGTTGGTGTTTGATCATATGCTCTAAAAAAAGCATTGTGATATAATTTATCACTATAGTGATGTCATTATATTGTCTACCACTATTCATGTGTACAAGCCATGCAGGCAGCTTAATCAATAAAATTAGTTAATGAGCGCATATTTGGCTTCACTCCCTCAGGGTGGGTAGGATGGCCCTCTCTCTCCCCTGTCACTCAGTGTGATGCTAGCTAACATGGGCTAATATAACAGAATTGGCAGTTAGTGTTCTCCTCCAAGTATGTTGATGTCCAGTGATGCGGTGGAGTTTCACATGTCTTGGAGGAAACACAAGCTGGCCTTCACCCTCCCAGCTAGCTAGTTGGTAGGAATTGGTCACAACAAAAATGCAGAGAAAATTGAAACAAAAAAAAATCTTTAAATGTTCAGTTCTTTTATTATATAATGTAATACAGGGTAAATGTAGTTCCTTTTTGAAAGTCCTGTGTTTATCTGAACTAAATTACGGCCTTTAAAATTCTTTACGTTTATGTATTTTCTCACTGAGATCTTAAATACAACCTCTTATTGACCAGGGTATATTTTGGTTTGTCCATCTGAATTTACATGACCAAAACGTAAGGCAAATTATTCAGTAACTGCATGAAATAACTATTTTTATTTTATTTTTTTATTTTGTAAAAACTCCCCTCAAATTAACAGAATGTGTTTTATGATCATACACATTGTTATATGCTATATTGCTATAATCTTAGATGCTCTTTGTATTTTTTTATTGAAATAATTTTTACAGAGCAGATCACTGAAGAGACGCCATCTGTTCATAGTTTATAGCCCAGATTTGTGGAAAAATTAGTCAACTTTCAGTAGACTAAAATTGTGAGTTTAGCTTCTTTTATTATAAGGGTTTAAAATTACATTACCCATCTATTTGACTAGAAAGAAGACAGTTACAGGTCTCAAATGACACCCACCTTTTGAATGCAGCTTATGAAGTATGAAAGTTATGAAGAATATGACTAAGTGCGTTTTGGAACCACCGGTGGTCCCAAGGAGTTGAAAAGGTTAATGCTACTTGACAGATTTGGAGATTTTATCACCCATATGCATTAAAAGTGCTTGCCAGGATTCCATTTTTGTTGAGCTGGCTAGTGGTTTTTTCTCACCTTTGCCAACTTTGAATGAATGAGTATGTTAGGAAAAGCAAACTCACTGACTTGGTTGATGGAGACGTTTTTGTGTGTGGTTCATAAAAATTGCATTGTGACTGGTATTAAACAGGTCTTAAAGTCTTAAAGGGGAATTCCACAGCTTTTTCTAAATTTCTGCATTATTAACCCATCAAGATGTAAAAAAAGTCATTTAGAGTGGTTTGATATGAAATGTTCTGTTCTGAATATGCATCAGTGTTCTAAATATGCTGCCTGATGCCAGAGACATTGTTTTATGATATGTAGGATTTTGATGTAAAACATTTAAGATCTTTTCATGGCTGAGATGTACATGCCGGGCACATGCCGGTACATTTGGGGCAAAATAGCCACTAAAGGAAACACTTTTCAGATTTACCACCATTATCAACATTATTTATAAAAACTCAGAAGGCAGGGGTCTGTGTTTGATTTCGATAGTTAATAGCAAATAAAAAATAAATCAAATTTGTTAAATTTTCATTGTAGACAGCATGACCCCCTGGTTCCCCAGCAAAGACAACTGAGTCTATAGCCTCCTGTACAATGAACCATTTCACATTAAACCACTCTGAATGACTTTGTTTACATCTCAGTGATTGCATTATTTTGAAGAATAGGTGGAATTCCCCTTTAAACTCTTCAAATGTTTGGTTTCTTAGCAAAACCATTATGAATAATTCTGACTTTGAAGTTTCTCCAGAACAGAGCATGTAACTTCCATCTCTTGTAATGACTTTGTTTATATCTTAACCATTTAATTATACAAAAATGTATAATAATAAGACAACCTGCAGTGCTTGTATAGTACAACATAAACTCACAACTTTGTTTCCAGTAATTATTGTGTGTTTTATTTAGGAGGTGGGTGTGAATCACCTGCGCCACGGCGCTGCAACCAACAGCCTCCGCTCCATCCTCAGCACCTTCACCCTTCTCATGTTCAACATCTACATCACAGTTATTTTAGGTGAGAACCACCTGCATGTTTACCAACATTCACTATCACTAGTACTGATTTAAAAGCACAGTCATTGTCAGTACTCAGTTGTACAGGCTGGGGTCCTGAAAGAAATCTGTTCAGTAAAACATGTACAAACTATTAGAGGTGTAAATCTCGCGATGATTTGATTATGATACTATATCTATTTCTAATAAAATAATTAAGTGTCTATCTCAAATTTCTCTACGATTTGATTAAATTATTTGGGCAACCGTTCATAATAATTAAAAAGAAATATACTGAGTACACAAAAGTGACTGAAGGAAATGTCATAAATGATACAGTTGAACACATCAAACACACTTATGACACTTATGGTGTGTGGAAAGGATGTGTTGCTGTCAGGAAGCCATAAATGAGAAAAGGAAACTCTGAAACTGGAAATCTTAGATGTGGAGAATAATGTTATGAACTGATAAGTCTACATATGTAATCATATCATGAGAAACAAAATGCAACCATCTTCTAGGACTTGTCTGTGAACTTCTATCTGGAGGTGTCTACAGGAGACATAGAAAAATTGCACTGCAGATTCTTTGAAAAACTGTGCACAAGCAGGCCTCACAAAAAAGAATGGAAGGCAAATGTTGGAAGCTCTAAATACTGAAAAATGAAATTCTATTTAGTTGTTGAGGCTTCTGTGTAATTTTCAGTTAAATATTTCCTATATGAAAAATGAATAACTTACTAGTAAATGTATTATTAAAATGAATTACTTACCAGTACTGTAAATACATATTAAAAAATGTCTATCAATATCAGGCCAGTTTGATACATAAAAAGATACTGAAAAGCTGAAAATATTTTCATTATTCAAATCACAGAAATCTTTTAGCCACTGGATGTTTGGTGGTAGATTTTCATGTCTAATGAGGAGATTTGAGTGAAGCTGAGCTAATGCAAAAGCTAACACCGGTGCTAAGAAAACTCTCAATATTCAATATCAATATTCAATGGGCCTCATTCACCAGACGTTCTGAAGAGTTTTCTTCTTAAAACCCACTCATACAGTTTTAATGAAGATTCTGACATTCACCAGTGTTTTCAGAATCTGCGTACAATCAAGAGTATTTTTAGTTTTGAAATAAAAACAGCACCCCCCTCCAGATAATAACCATACAATGTGTTAAATGTTTCTCACTAACATTAACACTTCATAGCCTAATAATGACATTTTTCCTTCATTTGATGAAAGAAGTAGGGCTTTGAGATTGAGATTGGCTGAGAGGCGTTGTCGTCATTGATTTTCATTGATCCTTAGGGATTATAATGTATTTGTGTTATCAAAGTTCAACAGAATACTTTGAAAAAGTAATGATGGCTAAATACTAAAGGCACTGTCCTAAATATATACAATAACTTGTTCCATTACAATACATAAAGTAATGATTCCGAGTGCATTAAATAAATGTATAAGGCACATGGGGTTGTGGGGGAGCTGGTGTTGTAATTTTGTTCATTCACACTGTTCCTCACCGTAACTGGTTGGCAGTTTAATCATATTATTCTTCAGTTAATAGATTTCATGAAAAATTTACTTATTTAAATGACCTTACAAAATTGTCTAATTATTTTGGCTCTCATTGCCTGCTTCAGTCCTCTGCTGACTCATCACATTGGTTTATCAGTCTACTCAGGCTTTAGCAGGAACTTCAGTGGTTGTAAGAAGCTGTTTTGGAGTTATTTTTAGAGCAGTTCTTTACACACCATGCACTGATTTTGGAGTAGTTAATAAACAAGCATTGATGGTCTTTCTTTCAAATATTAAAATGTACTGGGGAATAAAGTATTAAAAATAAAAAAATAACTATTCTAAATACTGTCTTTTTGAAATGTAAGTTGGCCTGAATATGGATATGTATTTACTGTATTCTGAGTATGTACTCTAAATACTTGTGTTGCCTAACAATGTATAAAAAAATTGATATATTCCTACTGTCAGGTATTGGTGAGTGTAATCTTGCTGAGGCAGATGCTCTTCTTGAACCCTACGCTCAAAAGTTTCCCAAAGTAGGTAAACGCTCTCTTTTTCACTGTGCTCTTGATTTTAACCAGCAAAGTACGCTGACTCTCTCCGCTTATCTGTCTGTCTGCAGGGTGCACTCATGCTCTTCTACACTGCCCGGATTGCAGTGCTTAAGGGAGACTTTGAGACAGTGAGTAATGCTTTTTGTTTAGCCTTCTGTCAGACATTAACCTTCACTCACTCTATTGAATTAGGACATACTCTCCCCTCTCCACTCTATTACATCATGGGCCAGTTGTCTGTACCCAAATTAAGCCAAAGTAAGCACTAGAAATGATCTTGAATGATAAATTGGTAATTGGTAAAGTAATTTAGTCCAAGACTAGGCTTAATCCATGTCCGGAAACTGGCCTAAAATGTTAAGAAGCCCTTAAACCAGGGCTACTCAAAGTGTGGTCTACAGGCTAGTTGGCCCATGAGGATGGTTGATTTTTCATGTCAGAAAGTTTATCTAACCCAATCTCCTCAACCAATGAGAGAGCAAGTATATTTTTAGACTATGTAACTTACAACACTATTTTCCTTTTTAAATGTTATTTTTTTAACTACTTTATCAACCAATTATAGTTTAATGCTATAAAGTACATCTTTATTTTTAAGCTCAATTTGAAAACTGCCTACCTTCTTTATTTGTATGTTTTTGTTTGTTGTCCCTTGGCCCACAACAAATATAGCACTTTAGACCCCAAAGGCAAACTTTAATGCAGACATTACTGCATTAAATTTAGTTTAATACAGGCACTTCTGTATTAAACAAACTTTGTGTGTGTGTGTGTGTGAGCAGGCTCAGAGGAAGTTTCTGGAGTGCATTGCGGTTCAGCAGGAGTGGCATCAGATCCACCATCTGTGTTACTGGGAGCTGATGTGGATCCATTCCTTCCAGCAGGACTGGCTGGAGGCCTACCGCTATGCTGACCTTCTTTGTAAGGAAAGCAAATGGTCTCAGGTGAAATACAGTTCTGCTACCACTGGGTGTCTCTGTATGCTTAAGTTTCTTTTTCTATCAAGCCTCAGCTGGGCCATCAAATCGCAAACTGCTATTTGATTCTCCTGTTGTACATAGTCAGTTGTTACACTGAGTTTTGGACGGATTGGTTTACTTTGTCATTTGACCCTCTCTTGCAGGCTGTCTATATGTTCCAGAAGGCCTCCATTCTTAGCATGCTTACAGCAGAAGAAGTGAAGAAGACAGGCGAGGATATAGTGGAGCTGTTCAGGTGACCAGAAACGGCATAGGCCATAGTGGAACCTTCCTTTAATTTTTCAAATGTTTTTTAGCACATGCTTGTCTGTGCAGCAACAGTAAAGTTGTTTTAAATGTGCTATGACTCAAGTAAAGACTTGGACTCGATTATAAAAAGATTTGCCAAATTATTTGGAACTAGAAGTAAAATTAGATTTTCGTTAAGTTATGATTCTTTTGGAATCTCGATTCTCAGTGATTTGATTAATTTGGTAGGATTCAAGATGTTTTTTTAGTGTTTTTTTTATGCTTACTAACTTGCAAATTTACACTGAGTTGTACTTTTATTGAATAAGCATTTTATCATCAGCATCATCAGCATGGGGGGGGGTCTTTAATTTATTAATTAATTAATTTATTTGTTTATTTTAGGCAGGTGGAAAGTCTGAGGTTGCGGTTTGCAGGAAAGTCTGTGCCCACAGAGAAGTTTGCTGCACGGAAAGCCAGACGCTACAACTCGCCCAACCCAATAAAGCTGGTTGTACCAGCACTGGTGAGAGACACACACACACACACACACACGCACACGCACACGCACACGCACACACACACACACACACACAGACACATTAAAGGTATGATATTATGTGAAAAGCTGTATTGTATGTTTGAAATAAGTTTGATTTTGTATATAAACATTGTGTGTTTACACCATAAACACATTTCCATTTGACCACCCATTCAGCCTACAGGAGTGTAACCCTGCATATTCATCCTACAGCAGTTCAGGCCCCCTACAGCAGTTTAGATTCAACCATTCCATCTGCAGCAGTTTTGCTTTAACCCTAAAGCATTATGCAGTTTAGCCTCTCCCATTCCTGTTAAAGTGATGCTCCTGCAGACAGTCTGCAGAGTTATTGGAGTGGGAGATGTGGATAACAAATAAAAGTGCTGTTCCTGCTGTTAGGGAGCAAATGTATCATTGCAGCCCTTAAGAGAATCTACTCAACTGTAAGAAGTGGTTGTATATTTTTTTTTCCCTCTCAGCCCTGAGTATTTCAGTCTAAACAGTGTTTTAACAGTTTCAGCTCTGCCTGCTTTTTGAATGAGGCATAACGCAAGGCTGCCATTTAGAACAGAGGTCATTTACAACATATTAGTGTTACAGACACAGTAAAAAAACAAAAATTTAAAGCAAGAGTGCACAATGCACTTTCTCCCTGAATGTAAAGTATCTCTCCGTCTGTCTGCCTGTCTAGGAAATGATGTATGTGTGGAACGGCTTCGCTATTGTTGGTAAAAGGCCGGAGCTGACACAAAACATTCTCCTCACCATCGAGAAGGCTGAGGAGGACCTGAAAAATGATGCTGGTAGTAAGATGCATGTTAAAAGAAACAATCTGATTCTATTATCCACTGAAACAAGAGACTGCCCAAGTGCCACATTTACTCATTTCTAGTTCTACTTCCTAGAAAAGTAGAGGCTGTTACTGCAGCCAAGGGGACAAACTCCCTATTAATACTATTGGCTAAAGAGGAAACGTTGGATGAGCAGGTGTGTACAAACCTTTAGACATCTGACAACCGAATACGTAACTAATCTTTTCACTGCTCTTTTTCTAGACCCGTCAGTATACCATGCAGATGACCAGAGTCTGGTGCAGATGCTGAAAGGCCTCTGTCTGAGACATCTGGGCCGCCTGGAGCAGGCGGAACACTGCTTCAACTACGTTATCTCCAGGTGAGAGTCAGCTGGAACAGCTAGATGAAGCTCTGTTGGAACCGAATTAGCTTTACCATAGGAGGTTCTGTAGTATTAAGTAAATACAGATACGATCTGTGAATTTGGTCCAGTATGAATCTGCAAGGCGAGTAGTTTTTACAGTCTTACAGTAACAATTGTGCAGTGAATGGCCTTTGGTTATTGGTTGAACGTGGAGCTCATCAGTAATCCTAATTGAACATCAAAACCTGCTAATAACAAGACCTGATGTTTAAAACTAATCCAGCTTCAGTAGAACAAATAAGGGCCACTGTGATTTTGTTGTAAAGTACTGTATTCCCATTACATTGCTACACATTATGATTGGCCTATAATAGTTTTGACCAAAATATTGATTTGTTTCTTTGGATTGTGTGAATGCCTTTATTCATGCAAACACCCGGTGAACATCTATGATTAGTCAAGATGCTCACAGCACACAACAGCACATTAATGATTCGTTTAGACACTCATTTGCACTTCCGTGATATCGATATTGCAAATGGCAATTACTCTATAACGTTCCATGACTGTTATAATTTTCAGTACTAGTAGTGGCGCACACCCTTACATACTTTTGCATAAATCACTTGATTGCTTTGTTCCCTCAGTGAGAAGAGTATCAAATATGACCACTATCTGGTGCCGTTTACCATGTGTGAACTTGGTCTCCTCTACAAGCAGCAGGGAGATGTGGAAAAAGCCATTATGTACATTGAAAAGGCCAAGTGAGTTATTCTTCCTGTCATCCTTAAATAGCTAAGCTTTTAATATGCTAGTATGTACATTGACTGTGTATGTTGCTTGCCATGTCATGTCTTGTTGTTTGTACTTTATTGTGCTTCAGAAATGGTAACCTTACAGGAAAAGGAAGAACTTTCTTAACTTTTAATGTAAATTGAGACAAGCATTTATTGTAACTAATTTTGGACCATTTCTGTTGCTCTACTTGTCTAATTTGGTATTTTCAAAAGGCATAAAAGTAGAACACAAATGGAGAAATGAGTTTTTGAGATGACAGCAATGAAATACAGATCTAAATCTGATCAGATTTTGACTCATGCTTTCCCCCTAAAAGACAACTTAATCTGTTGTGGTTTCACTGTAGAACTAAACAGAATAAATTTGGTTTAAATAATTATAATACTTTGCCATGTGGTTAAAGATTTAATTAGTTAACATTAACATAGCTACAAAATGATTGCCACAAAGAGGTCTGCTGGACACTGTTTGATGAGGATATCTTGGTCGTAGCTGTGACCATCTCATGATTAAACAGTAATTCTACTGTCTTTAAAATTTCTGCAGTATTCAACTGCTGGGATGCAGAGGTCATTCAGAGTGTTTTGATCTGAAATGGTTCATTACAGAGATGTTTTATTTACAATCCAAATTGACCAAAGGTTTTTCTTTTTGCCTTGCAAATGCCCTGCATGTATTTCTCTGCCATGAAAATGTTTTAGGCCAACCTCACAAAACTATTGGAAAAGAATGTTGCAGTATGGTATCAGACAGAAAATTCATAACCACTTCATTGAAGAACTTTTTTTTTTTTAACTTCTCATACAGGCTGAATTATAAGAACTACTCTATGGAGTCCAGGCTGCATTTCCGAATCCATGCAGCACTGAGCAGTCTGGCTGATGAGGAGAAAGTGGCACAAGAGCACAGCATGACTGCTTAAGATGACACCACAGAAGACTTAGAATGCATTTAAAGGATCAAAACATTGTTTGATGATCTTTTGGCCTTTGACTGCATCAGGTCCACTTTTTGTTGTGTTATGTGAAAGAATACAAGAATTGCCAGAGGTCGGTACTCAAAATACTCCGCTAAACACTACATGTTCTCCCTTTTCTTGCTTAACACATGGTTCTGGATGGAAATGGCCTGTATGCACTGTGGATTTGTGATGTCAATCAAAGGTTAAAAATAAATATTGCACTAGTCAAAGTAAATGAATGTTGTCCATCTTTTCTGGAAAAAAAAATTGCAATCAAGTTAAGGTTGTAGTGTACTTTCATACCATTCACGTACCTAAAGTTCAGTGTTCTTAGTCAAATGTTGACACAGACAATATAGTGATTAACATAGGCAATTACATAGGCAAATGTTTTTTTTGTTGTCAGGTTTTGTTCTAATTTGTTCATTCACTAAAAGCTGGTTAGGTTATGTCTATATAATCTTTACTGTAGTCTGGTAAACTACATTTCCATAGTCATTTATTGTCTCTTGTCTTCCACACTATATTTCTTCACCATCTACACAGTGGCTTCTTGCTACAAATGTTTTTTCTTTATGGAACAAAATAATTTACTGTATTGATGGAAGCTGTATGCTCCTGGAGAGCTGGTGGGATATCATCAGAAATTGTTTCCATCATCAGAAGAGGGGCAGAATCCCCTGCCCAAGATGTTTAAGTTAGTAGCAGATTATATAAAGAGAACAGGGTACTGTGAAATCACTTCTAGCAGAATAAATGGACAATAAAGACGGTTTCATTTCATTTGTCAGTCATGCAGATACACAGATGCACTTTATAATGACACGCTATAAAAGTTAAATATTTAAAAAGAGCTTTAACTTTAATATCAGAATATATTTTTTAAATTCAACTTCATTGTTCTTAGGCTTTTCAGCTTGGCAATGTCCTCTCTAGGATACTTCTAGAAAAATACTGTACATTTTAAAACTGTTATACTGTTTACATGTACATTTTCATTGGCATACAAAATAACAGTGTTCTCTTCAAACTGCATGAAAATTTGTTCGGTTCAAGACTTCAGTTACTCTCCGTACTAAACGAGAGATGACCAAGAAAGCATTCAGTACCATTACCGGCTAGATGTTCAAAACTGTGGATGTAAAATAAACTCTCACGCAGATATTAAAAGACTTGATTTAGTACAGAGCACAGTTGAACAACAATTTACAGTGAATTAGGTCACATAAATATTAACAGCATTTATACATATTTGTTATTACTGTGAGTGTCTTGCCTTGGACTGTATCAATATGAGAGAAACTGTTTTGGCTCAAGATTTTCATAACATGGGCATAACATTTTTTTAACAGAATGAAAAACATCTTTTTAATGAAGCAAAGAAAGATGCATTTAAAAACAACACAATTTATTTACAATATGTACAATATGTACAATATATACATAAATTTTCATTCCACTGCAACATCAGCTAAATGCAGAACTTTGGAAAGATTTGCAGAACCTGAAGAAACACAGATTAAAGAAACAGAAACATTAGAATGGAAAAATAATAGTACAGTACAAAGAAATTTAAAGAGAAATATTTAGGATTATTAAATAATGTTACCTTGCTGGACAGGAAAATGAGGAGCTCTTCATATGTCATGGTGATGCTTGAGTCACTGGTGTAATGGATGGATAACATCAATCAGGAGGGTCAGGACATGACGAGACAAAAAGATCCTGCAAGCACAACAAGCAAAGAAGACAAAGCACCAGATTACACAAACAAAATGTAAACCAGTTCATGTAGCATTCACATCCATAAAGCAAACCATTGTTTCACCTCATGCCTAAAAGCACAGGCAGCAACAACAACAGCACAGCCATCTTCATTGCAGTAAGACAACATGCAGACCAACAAAAGAACAATGTAGCATCAATGACCTCTCACATTCCAGTTTCCTTATGAATCATGAAGGATATTTTCCACTGACTATTGATTACCTTCTCTACAGTCTTCAAAAGTAGCTGACATGCTGATGTACTGAGGCACCAGACGTGGGCATGTGGGATCAAACAGACGCAGCAAGACCAGGACCAGGCAGCTTCATGAACAGCTCCAATATGTAGGGAGAGAGAGACAGAGAGAAAGAGTGAGAGAGAGAGAGAGAGAGAGAGAGAGAGAGAGAGAGACTACAACAATAATATTTAGCTTTTAAATGTACTTTTCATTTTCAGCTCCTGAAAATAAACCACTACAAAATAAAGTACTTCATAAACTCACTGTATCTTGCTTTAATAATACCGAGCACTAACAATATACTTATATACTTACAACATAAAAAACTACAATAAAACATGCACTGAGTACTGTTAAGTGCACTAGTCACCAGTTTATTAGGTTGACTGATCTTGTATCTTCATTCATTAGCCGTTTATCTGGTCTATCATACAGGTGCACCTGGATGTAGGAACAGAATTACATACTGTAGTCCCTCTGTTGCTGCAGTTTACCAGCGTCCTCTACCCCGGCCATCACTAAAAAGGGACCACCACAAGACCCCCACTTGGCAGATATTATTTGGGTGGTGGATCATTCTCAGCACAGCAGTGACACTGACATGTTACTGTGTGTTGGTAGGAGTGTATCAGGGGTTGGTGAGAAATGAAGTTGGAAAACACTGTTTTAACACACCAAGGAACACTTGCTAACATGGTGATGAGTGGAAACAGGTGTGTTAAATGAGGAAGAATGCTAAACTTCTGACACCTGAAGAGCAGTGGTTCTCATCTCCGGGCTTGGGGATGCACTGCCTTACACAGTTAAAGTAATACCTGCCACAACACACCTAATCCAGCTCATGAAAGGCTTGATCATTTGCTGATGACATGGATCAGGCATGATGTGGCACTCAATGCTTTAGCTGTGTAGGGCAGTGGGTCCCCAGGGCTGACATTGAGACCCCCAGGCCAGAGGATGACTAAAAAAATATTTGAATAGAAAAATTGCACCACCTCCCAATCTGTATCTTATCTGTAGTAGTCCTCCGGTGGTCCCTTTCCACTGATGGACAGGGTAGAGAGTGGCTGATAAATTGTGCTGCACTAGACTGGCTACAGTCAGTGAGTATAGACCCAAAAAGTGCTCCTATCTGGTAGATTTACCTAATAAAATGGCCTCCAAGTGTAGGTACATAGTAAGTCTACCTAATAGCTGACAATTCAGTACGTAATGCACTTAAAAGAAAACCTAAGATAACAAAAAACACTAAATACTAGAAATACAAATATTATACTAATATTGCTAATAGTAAAAATTTTAAATGTAAAATGGAAGTTAGGCCAGTCAGGCAGCCTGGAGCCTCAACAAGAGCTGCCGAACATGCTTCTCCAAACAGTCCCACAGAGCCAGAGCCAGAGATCCAGGATTCTGATAAACATGCTCCTCCCCACCAAAGATGTCATCCAAAAGGAGCAGGGCCTCATCCTGAGAGAGAACAAGGCTGTTATCCATTACAGAAAACAAAGCAATATGCTAAAGAATGTTAAGTAGTTTAAACATATAAAATGTTCCACTGAAATTCCATTGATGATCTGAACTTCTAATATTAATGCTGTTGATGTGCACCTTACCTGGAGCAGAAACAGATATTGTTCAGCTCTGGCCCTATTCTCTATGCTGACGGGACTCAAGGAGAAAACCATGGCCATTAGGTGCCCAAGGAAACCTCCTGGTGTCTGGAAAGGTGGGAGAGAAAAAAAAGTTGAGTAAACAATTTGCAGTTCTTCTGGATTCATAAATATATAATAAGAGAATCAGAACAGAATCCTTATCTAGAACTAGTTCTGCATTTCACATTCTACTACATTTCTATGGAAAGCTGGGTGTTAAAACTGTAAGGGGCTTAGCTTCTAGCGCACAATACAAAGTCACACTTGGTTCTAAGACTGAGCGGAGTCTCTTACTGGAAAGATCGGAGGCCTCGCTCCTTGCAGCGCTCTCATCAGCACCAGCTCATAGATGATATCTATAAAGCTAAAGTGCTGGATCTAAGAGGACACAAAACAGTAGTGTTAAAGCCACATTCACAGTGACAAAGAGGTGACCATGTTGAAGAGCGTGAACTCACCCCAATCTGTGCCAGCTCTGTGCAAATAGCTTCCCGGTGGGAAGCATCCTGAGCAACAGCGACCAGGAAGTGACATGCTGGATGAAAGTCTGGAAGCACCTGCAGACGAAAGAGATATGTTTGTTGCTTAATCCTGAGATCATTCAGATTATACAGTTCATGCTTGATGAAGATGAATATGTTGTGTTACCCTGGCATTTCGAGTGGCAAGTCCTCCCAGAAGGACCCTGTCTGCAATGATCACACATTTGGAATGATGGCTGTTGCTCAGAACAATCTACAGAATGAAACCAAGAAAAGGACTGTGAGCAAAAAACAACTCAGCAGGCACCGGTGTATAAAGACAGAGTTATTGAGAACTGAGAATGAAGTTTGATCTAGTAGACTTACAGTGAAAGCCTGGCGCAAAGCTGAAAGCTTCAGAGGAAAGTTGGTCGTCCTCCTGGCTGCAAAGTAGTCACTTGGGCAACAGAAACAATTTCATATTAAAGATACTTTTCAAAATAAACGTAACCTGATAAGCTCTATTTGGCATAAGAATAGGGTGAAAACAAGAGTACTTACTACAAAGCAGGCACCCGATAAACCTCAGGAGGGACAGTAAGATCTCCAGCTGCCTGTAACATCAAACATGCAGGACTTATTACTGATAAATAAAACTGCTGAAAAATGTAATGAGAACTGATTAGAGCAATATATATATATATCCTTACCCCAAGAGCTCTTTGGATGGAGGAAGCTGGCTCTGGCTGAGGCTTAAATGGTGCCTGAGGTATAGAAGGAACCTGCGGAGGTGTTCTGGGTGGATTCTGGGGAGATTTAGCATCTCCAGACACCTATGACACCAGATATGTTGTAGGATGGGTTTTGGTAAAATGGGACGGAGCATTGATTGAAATAGGACACATTGGCTGTAGGACCTGAATAACAAGGCCATTAATTTATCCTGTTTGGTTAGCAAAAGTTTCTCTTTGCTCATTAAGAAAGCATTTTTGCACGTTTCACAAAACTGTAGTCTCTTAAAGTGTCCTAAAACATAAAAATCCACTGTACTTGTTACTGACAAATAAAACTGTTGCAAATGTAGTTAGAACTAATAAGAGCAGTGTGCATAGCCTCACCCAAAAGACACTCTGGGTAGAGTCTGCTTCTTGTTGAGGCTCGAATGGTGGCTGAGATGGTGAAGGAGCCACTGATGGAGCCCTGGGAGATGGTATGTGGGGGCTCTGGGGAGACATATATCCAGCTGCCTATAACACCAAATTTGTAATACTTATTACTGAGAAAGAAAACTTAAAAATGTAGTCAGAGCTGATTAGAAGAGTGTGTATAGCCTTACCTCAGGAGCACCCTGGCTGGCTGACGATGCATTTGATGCAGGCCTGGATGCTGGCTGAAGTGGAGAACTCCAGTGAGACGTTCTAGCTATAGCAGCTATAAATACGATATAAAAGGAGAACATGTTACTGAGCCTCATAACTCTGAGAATTACAATACAATTAAACAATTAAACTACAGTTAAACCACCACTGCTTTGTGGGATATATGTGATTGTGACATCAGCTGCAGACTTTGTGGTCTGTTTTGGTAAAACACTCATAAAATTGCATTTCTCTGTTTTTCAGTCAGTTAATCATTTGAAACATCTACACAGTGTCAGATATGACTGAATATGGCAGTGAGAAGGCCTTTATGATGGAAATCACCTCCAATTCACTGTTAAAGGGCCCATATTGTATATGTATCTTATATAATCTTTCCACTGACGTACACCTATGATATTTATGTAGGTTTATACACCAAAACAATCAGAATTATTAATTATGAATTAGATAATTAATATTATTAATAATAAAACAATAATTAATTATTATTATTATTATTTTTTTTTTACAATTTTACAAATTCACAACTTCTCTTTATTCCTTAGAATGAAACTGTTGTTTTTGTTACTGTGCTTATGTTCAGCTTGCCAGCCCAAATCCGATTTTGGCATATCCAGATTGTATCCAGACTGATTTTTGATAGCCTGGACAGCTGAAAACCAAAAGATATTGTTATTTGTGCAAATCCGATTTGTGTATTCGTTGTTGAATTCAAAATACGCTGTTTTTGCTGTTTAGTTTTCGTTGACTATATAGACTGGCACGTAAATATTAAGTTTTGAACCTTTAACAGTGTTTGTACACTACATGAAACTATTTTATTCTAAAATGGGGGAGATTTTGGTTTTCGGTGATACAGCCCCTTTAACCTATATTTGAACGTAAACAGAAGGGGGCGATATGAAGACTTTCCCTCCGTATCATCTAACTATGTAGCTGGTTTATTTCAAAGTTAAAGTTCAGCTCCGTACAAATGTGGAGATAATATAATACATTTCTTCTGTGTTTCGGACTCACATCTGAATCGGTCGAATAAAAAGGATTATTATAACGTTCGCGCCCAAATACAGCGAGCTACTAAACTAACACACCGTCCGTCTACACTGAACAGTTCGGCCCTTTGACCTGTACTATGAACAGCGTACACCGTTTATGAGGGGCTGTTTAAGACTCCTCTTGTGTCTGTGTTTACCTTCGTTGACTGTCTCCTCGTCAGGATCCTCTCTGGTCCTCTGGTGTCGGTTCCTGCACCTGTAAAAATAATAAACAGCTCCAGCGGCGACGGCAGCCCCGGCCACACACAGCAGGGGGCGCCACCGCATCGCAGACGGAGCGAGAGTGCGAAAGGCGAAAGGCTGCATTTAATCCAAACGAAGGAAGAGATGTCGGAGCGCAGGAGAGCAAAGCTTTTCTGTAGAGCTCAACGTTCTTTTTCACCTCTTTATAACGTGCATGGAACGTTCTTGTGTTCCATCTCAGCTGGGTCACAATACGGTGACTGTGTCGCTATAATTGCCGCTGGTAAAACGGGCACTTAGTAATTAACAGTAAATCAACAGTAATTAAGGGGCGTGGCCTGCAGCGTTTAAATTGAGACGTCCTTCAGAACAGCTCGTTTATATTTCACAGTATATTTCACAGTGTATTTTATAGCTGCTGATTGATTCAAGGAGCATTTTTTTTTTTTACAAAATAGAGATAAAGGAACACATAAACTTAATACTTCTGTTTTGGAAAGAATGCTTATATTATATATATATTTGTTTGAATCTAATATGCAAAAGTAAGTTTGAAAGTTTGAAAAGTTAGTCAGATTACAAGTTGTGTTGCTTTTAAAAATCCCATCATACAGAGAACCCATGTAAATGTGGCGTTTTGCTAAAACTTTAGTACAATTTGAATTTATTTGCTGAGTTTTACATTCAACTTTTACATTTAACTACATAACTTTTGCACATTACATACACCGATCAGGCATAACATTATGATCACCTCCTTGTTTCTACGCTGATTTTTCATTTTATCAGCTCCACTTACTATAAAGGTGCACTTTGTAGTTCTACAATTACAGACTGTAGTCCATCTGTTTCTCTGCATACTTTGTTAGCCCCCTTTTACCCTGTTCTTCAGTGGTCAGATCCCCCATGGACCCTCACAGAGCAGCTACTATTTGGGTGGTGGATCATTCTCAGCACTGCAGTAACACTGACGTGGTGGTGGTGTGTTAGTGTGTGTTGTGCTGGTATGAGAGATTCAGACACAGCAGTGCTGCTGGAGTTTTTAAACACTGTGCCCACTCACTGTCCACTCTATTAGACACTCCTACCTTGTCAGTCCACCTTGTAGATGTAAAGTCTCATCTGCTGCTGCAGTTTGTGTTGGTCATCCTTTAGTCCTTCATAAGTGGTCACAGGACGCTGTTGGCTGGATATTTTTGGTTGGTGGACTATTCTCTGTCCAGCAGTGAAACTGAGGTGTTTAAAAACTCCAGCAGCACTGCTATGTCTGATCAACTCAGACAAGCGCAACGCACACTAACACACCACCACCACATCAGTGTTACTGCAGTGCTGAGAATGATCCACCACCCAAATAGTACCTGCTCTGTGAGGGTCCATATTGGGTCCTGACCACTGAAGAACAGGGTAAAAGGGGGCTAACAAAGTATGCAGAGAAACAGATGGACTACAGTCTGTAATTGTAGAACTACAAAGTGCACCTATATAGTATATGGGGGTGATAAACTGGACAATGCCTGATCGGTGTATGTATGTATGTATATATATATATATATATATATATATATATACTTCCCACAATTATCAGCTTCTCTCTGCTGTCTGTCTAATCCTACCAAATTAGATATTATGACCAAGAGGATACTTTTTGATCTACTCTAGATTATGTGGCTCCATTAAAATGTACAATAATAAGGCAGAAAAAGCTTGCCCCGTGGTGCAATGATCATACTTGAGCTTTAAAACAGATTTAGACAACTAGAGCGAAAATGGCACCTGACTGAACTAGAAGTATTCCAGTTCGCCTGGAGGGAGAGTCTTAAAGACTGTAGAAGAGCACTTACTGAAGCATGCTCAACCTATCTCTCATCTCTCATTGAAAATAATAGGAATAATCCTAAAATATTATTTAGCACAATTTCTAAATTAACTAAGAACCAGATGCCATTAGCCTATAGCCCATTAGCAATGATTTCATGAATTTCTTTAGTGATGAAATTGAAAAAAATGGCAGAAAATTCAGAACGCACAGTTAAACTCTAAATCTTGCTGCTTTATAATGCCAATCTAGATCTTGAGAATATTGTAACTATTACAGAAAGGCTGGAATCATTTACTTTATTTCAACAAAATGAAATAGTTAAAAATGATTTCCTCATCAAAATCTTCTACTTGTATGTTAGATAACCAGGCCTATTCTGTCAATAATAAACTCCTCTCTTAGCCTTGGCTAGATCCCAAAAACTCTTAAACTAGCAGTAATTAGACCTCTGATTAAAAAAGCTAACCTTGATCCCTGTGAACTATCAAATTATAGATCTATCTCAAATCTTCCTTTTGTATCAGAGGTCTTGGAAAAAAGTTGTAGCAAAACAATTAAGTTCCTATTTGCATAGGAATCATATACATGAAAAAAATCAGTCTGGTTTTAGGCCACATCATAGTACAGAGACAGCACTAGTGAAAAATGTAAACAATCTCCTATTATTCTCTGATTATTCTTATTATCTTTGCTAGTCCTCCTTGATCTTAGTGCAGCATTTGATTTGATAGACCACTCTATCACACTAGATAAACTAGAAAACCTTGCAGGTAAGTAAAGTATGGTGTTCCACAAGGCTCTGTTTTAGAACCTATATTATTCACATTATATATGCCACCACTGGGTACCATTTTTAGTAAGCACGACATCAGCTTCCACTGCTACGCCAGTGACACAAAGTTATATACGTCAGCCAAATCAGATGATATACTTGAACATAACATGATTGAGAACTGTATAAAAGACATAAAAGACTGGATGTCGAGTAACTTTCTCCTACTCAACTCAGATAAAACAGAGTTATTCCTTTTTTTTCCAAAAGTGGCTAGAAACAAACTATCTGATTTAATGCTTATACTTAATAGTTTCTCAGTTACATCAGGTACATCTGTAAAAAAAACCTTGGTATGGCTATAAATCCTGATCTGTCCTTCGATGCACGTATAACAAATATTACTAGAATAGCTTTTCTGCATCTCTGTAATATTGCTAAATTAAGAAATGCATTATCTCTACAGGATGCAGAAAAGCTAGTTCATGCATTTATTACCTCAAGGCTGGATTACTGTAATGCCTTGCTGTCTGGATGTTCCAGCAAAAGCCTTAATAAGCTTCAGCTAGTCCAGAACGCTGAGTCCTCACAAGAACCAGAAAGTTTGACCATATCAGTCCAGTATTATCAACCCTACACTGGTTGCCAGTGAAATTTCGCATTGATTACAAAATTCTTTTACTGATGGATAAAGCTCTAAACGGCCGCTCAGTACCTGAGTGAACTTCTCTCTTATTATGAACCATCACGCCTACTTAGATCACAGCGTGCTGGCTAGAATTAATAAAGTTACATCAGGGGAAGAGCCTTGTCACACAAAGCCCCCCAACTTTGGAATAATCTTCCAGTCAGTGATCGGGACTCAGACACAGCCTCAGTCTTTAAGTCTAGGCTAAAAAACCACTTGTTTAGTCAAGCCTTTGGTAATTAGTTTTTCCTGTTAGATAAAAGGTGCAGATCTGGGGGTTCATGGACATAGAGTATTATGGTAAATTGGGAGTGTTGTCATCCAGCTGCTCTCATGTGTACACACAGGTTTGCTGATGGCGGAGCCGAGGGGTGCTGACATCTCAGGAAGCCCTCATGTCTCTGTTACCTTCTGGCTTTCCCTTTTAGTTAGGCTGTAATAGCTAGACCTGCCGCTGTCTCTGCTGCACTCTGTTAATACTGTAAACTCTGATCAGTCACTCTTTACAGAACTAATTCTCTGGTTTTTCTATTGCCTTGTGTAGAATTGCCACAGAATTTTAGTTAAAAAAACTATGAGTACATGCACATCTGCTGAGTTTTATATGTAATGTTGATGAGGTTAAATTAGTGATAAATCTGAAAAAAAAAAATGTTTTTGGTATTTTTGGAATAACTGTTTTAAACAATATAAAACCAGTGTTAAAATTTTGTAGGTTTACAAAAAAATGTAGGAAGCTGTAAAAATGAAGAAATGCTCTATGATGAACAGAGCTGCAGACGATTATATTAAAATAGAGAAAGCTGTATACCATTGAGAGAAAACTTCCAGAATGTCTAGAATGCCTCACATTTGAAAAACAGTTATCAAGTAGCTGTTCAAAGCAATTTATATAAAGAAATTTATATAAATAGTTGTGTTTATTATTGAACGACATTAAGTATTTTTGCCATGTCATCATTTCTTGTTGTTCCCAAAGTACTTTCACTTCTGAACAAACCTTTGGTTTATGTTTTGGTGTCTAGTTTATAATATTTCAGTCAACACTGTTATTATATGACTAGTGATTCCAAAGTTTTAAACAGTAGTTCAACAGCAATAGTTTTATTACCATTTTTAGTACCATTTTTGTAATACTTTTCTGTAAAGGGCTTTTAGAGGCATTATACTCCTCAGAGGTCTGGTTCCTGTCACCACCGCTCTGAACAATTTTGACTGATTAAGTTTCTCTTGAACCAATCTGAATTATTTTGTTTACATATTAATATTTAATTACATAAAAATTAAAAAAATAAAGAATTCCCCTAAAAGATCCAAATACTCCTCTGTGGCCTACAAAGCTGCTCTGTCAAGTACAGTCACATATGCAGTTCCGTGTCTTACACAGAAAATTGTTAGCAACTATTTATCTCAGCAGTGAGTATTTTTACTGTTAAAAATTTAGTAATTCTAATAATATAATATTAGAGTACATGAATATAAGTAACAAGACTTTCTTGTTCTTTAAAAATGTGAGATGTTATGAGATACACACAGCCAAGTCATTGTATGGACATGTCCTCCATGACAGCACACCTGATTTTACTTTTGATAATGAATTAATCAAAAGTCAAATAAATCTGTACAATTTTATATTATAAGGTTTGAATCTGTAGATCTGAAATCTGTGTTTTGTGTACAAAGTAAAAATCTCTCCAAAATAATGAATCTTATTTAATCTAAAAATATGAAATATGAAACTTTCCATATAGGTAGTTTCCAGTTTTATCAGCTTATTACAAAACTGAACTGAATTTAATCTG